CCTACCTCAGCCTCCTAACTAGCTGGGATTACACAGGCACCCGCCACCATGCCCAGCTAAGTTTTTAATTTTTATTTTTAGTAGAGATGGGGTTTCACCAGGTTGCCCAGGTTGGTCTCAAACTCCTGACCTCATTATCCGCCTGCCTTGGCCTCCCAAAGTGCTGGGATGGATTACAGGCATCAGCTACTGCACTTGGCCACTTCCTCAGGTTTTCAACATGTCTACCCGCCTACCTGTGACCTACTGTTTGTCTGCCTGGCCTCTGCTTTTTTAACTCTTTGTCTGGCTCTAGCTTCAATGTTCTGCTGCCCTTTACAATACACTCCTCAGAGGCTGGGCTTGGTGGCTCATGCCTATAATTTCAGCACTTTGGGAGGCCAATGAGGGCAGATTACTTGAGGCCAGGGGTTTGAGACCAGCCTGGCCGACATGGCAAAACGCTGTTTCTATTAAAAATACAAAAATTAGCTGGGCGTGGTGGCAGGTGCCTGTAATCCCAGCTATTCAGGAGGTTGAGGCAGGAGGATCACTTGAACTCAGTTGGTGGAGGTTGCAGTGGGCCAAGATCACGCCACTGCACTCCAGCCTGGGTGACAGAGTAAAACTCTGCCTCAAAAAATAAAATAAAATAAAACAACAGAATCCTCTGAGGTACTTTTACTCATCTTGTGTCTCTGATTCCTTTTCCTCCCAAATCTGTGACTTTGCCAAATCAGCTGTTTTTTTTTTTTTTGCTCAGGTTGGTCCTGAACTCCTGGGCCCAAATGATCCTCCTGCCTCAGCCTCCTGAGTAGCTGAGACTACAGGCATGTACCACCATGCCTGGCTATTTAAAATTTTTTTGTAGAGACAGAGTCTCCCTATGTTTCCCGATGGTTCTTGAACTCTTGGGCTCAAGTGATCCTCCCTCCTCAGCCCCCCAAACAGCTGGAACGACAGATGCACACGACTGTGCCCAGCTCTGAATCGGCTCCTGGTGATGTTACCAGTGACCCCTCCTCACGTCACTTGCGCTTCCTCCCTGTTGACAGTCATGGCTTCCTCCCTTGGCTTATTTTCTCCCTTGGCTTCCAGGACACCCCACTCTCAAGACTTCCCTCCTAGCTCAGTGGCTCCTCCTCTGCAGTCTTCCCCATTCTTGGAGTCTTTAAACATCAGAGCGCTGCGGGGCTAAGTTCTTCTTTTGTTTTTTAAGACAGAGTCTTGTTCTGTCACCCAGGCTGGAGTGCAATGGCGTGATCTCGGCTCACTGCAGCCTCCGCCTCCCAGATTCAAGTGATTCTCCTGCCTCGGCCTCCTGAGTAGCTGGGATTACAGGTGTCTGCCACCACATCTGGCTAATTTTTGTATTTTTGGAAGAGTTGGGGTTTGACCATGTTGGTCAGGTTGGTCTTGAACTCCTGACCTCGTGATCTGCCCACCTCAGCCTCCCAAAGTGCTGGGATTACAGGCGTGAGCCACCGCGCCCGGCCCTCAGTCCTTGATTCTCTTCTCTTTTTTCTCTTCACTCTCTCTTTTGGTAATGGACTCCCAAATCAATCAATCTAGATTGGATCTTATTCCTGAATTTACTCTGTTTCCCAGGCTGGAGTGTAGTGGCACAGTCGTAGCTCACTGCAGTCTCAAATTCCTATCTCAATTGACATGCCTCAACCTCCCAAGTAGCTAACAGTCTATTTTTAATGCAGCCACCACCATGATCATTTAAGGCATGAGTAGGCCAGGCCTGAAGGGCTCATCCCTGTAACCCTAGCACTTCGGGAGGCTGAGGCGGGTGGATCCCTTGGACTAAGGCATTGAAGACCAGCCTGGGTAACATGGTAACATATTCACCTGTCCTCTCCACATTTCCATTGGGAAGTCTATTGGGTATCTCAACACATCCAAAACCAAACTGCTGATGCCTATTCTCCTCCTGTTTCCCCATACCTGCAATTCATCTTATTGCAATAAATAGAAACCTCATCTTGGCATCTTTTCAGATCAAAAACCTTAGAGTCAGCCTGGTGAGGTGGCTCACACCTATAATCCCAGCACTTTGGGAGGCCGAGGCGGGCGGATCACCTGAGGTCAGGATTTCAAGACCAGCCTGGCCAACATGGTGGAACCTTGTCTCTACTAAAAATACAAAAAATTACCCAGGTGTGGTGGTGGGTGCCTGTAATCCCAGCTACTCGGGAGGCTGAGGCAGGAGTGAGCTGAGGTCATGCCACTGCACTCCAGGGACCTTAGGATCATTTTTGACTCCTCTCTTTCTCTTCCTCCCAAAACTCAACCCATCAGCAAGTTCTGTCAGCTCTACCTTCAGAATATATGCAGATTCTAACCACTTTTCACCACCTCCGCTGTCACCACCCTCTTAGAAGCTACCATTACTTCTCATTCGAATGATTTTTTAATCTATTGCTTAAGTGTTTCTGATGGAGGTGAAATTCACATTAACAGAAAATTAACCATTTTAAAGTGAGCAATTCAGTGGCATTTAGTACATTCATAATGTTGTGCAATCATCACCTCTGTCTAGTTCCAAAACATTTCATCACCCCCAGAGGAGACCTCACACCCACAAAACAGTGATTACCCATTCCCTCCTCCCCACAACCCCTGGCACCACAACACTATTTTCTGTCTCTATGGACTTGCCTCTCTTGGACACTTCATGTAAATGGAATCATACACTATGTGACCTTTTGTGTTAGCATCATGTTTTCTTTCTTTTTTTATTTTTTGAGACAGAGTCTCGTTCTGTTGCCAGGCTATAGTGCAATGGTGCGATCTCGGCTCACTGCAACCTCTGCCTCCCAGGTTCAAGCGATTCTCCTGCCTCAGCCTCCTGAGTAGCTGGGACTATAGGCCCATGCCAACACACCGAGCTGATTTTTGTATTTTTAGTAGAGACGAGGTTTCACCATGTTGGCCAGACTGATCTCAAACTCCTGACCTCGTGATCCACCCGCCTCGGCCTCCTAAAGCACTGGGATTTCAGGCGTGAGCCACTGAGAGGAATATTTTTATGTGGTTCAGAGACACTTCTGGGATACTTAAAACACATAATTAGTTGTCATGGTGTAGGAATGGCTTCCAGGAATGCTTCTATTGTGTAAGGTGCTAACTCACTAGATGCGAGGCCATAGCCTACTATGGCACGAATGTATCTTTTAGTGGCCCACTCCAGAAGCATCTGGTAATAGAAGTGTCAAGAATTGAAAGGAAGCCTGTACAATGGGTCACACCTGTAATACCAGCATTTTAGGCGGCAGAGGATGGCGGATCACTTGAAGTCAGGAGTTCAAGACCAGCCTGGGTAATCTAGTGAAACCCTGTCTCTACCAAAAAAAAAAAAAAAAAAAATTAACCAGACGTGATGGCGTGTGACTGTAGTACTAGCTGCTTTGGAGGGTAAGGCAGGAGGATGACTTCAGCCAAGGAGTTCAAGGCTGCAGTGAGCCATGAACATGCCACTGTACTCTAGCCAGGCAAGGAAGCGAGACCCTGTGTCAACAAACAAACAATTGAAAGGATTGAGCTAGAAGTTACTCTGTGGAAACATTTTCCAAAACTTAGTTAACATATGAATGAAACTTCATGAAAATTTTCCTTTTTTTTTTTTCCTTTTTTGAGACAGAGTCTCATTCTGTTGCCCGGACTGGAGTGCAGTGGCATGACCTCAGTGCACTACAGTCTCCGTCTCCCGGGTTCAAGCGATTCTCCTGCCTTAGCCTGTCGAGTAGCTGGGATTACAGGCACTTGCCACTATGCCTAGCTATTTTTTGGTATTTTTAGTAGAGATGGGTTTCACCATGTTGGCCAGGGTGATCTTGAACTCCTGATCTCGTGATTCACCGGCCTTGGCCTCCTAAAGTGCTGGGATTACAGGTGTGAGCCACTGTGCCTGGCCAGAAGTTTTTCTAGATTTCCAAAAGATTTAGATATCATTACGAGTACTGATTTGTGAAGCTGAAACTTGTTCTACATTACATGGAATTTTTAAAAAGTTCCATCAAGCACGCTAGAAGAAAGATAACTTATTTTTCTTTTCTTTTTGTAGACAAAGATATTGTGAAACATGCAGCCGAAACAGTAGGAAACGTCACAGAGGTGTGTCAGGCAGAAGATTAATAAAAACATTACGTTATCCTTTGGGATTTTGCAATCTTTGTGGTATTTGGCTCTTAATTTGTTATCATTTCATATTCTAAGTAAACTTTGTCAGTTTTTGTTTTAAACGTATTTTTCTTTCTTAAAGAGGTCCCTCCTCCTTCATACCCGCGCTCAATTCCTTTGGCTGGATCCTTCCAATTCATGACCGATTGGTTTAAAATATGGGTCGTTCAAAAGCTGTGTGATCCCGAGCTAGTGGCTATACCCCTCAAAGCCTGTTTCCTTAGTGGTAAAATGGAAATCATAATAACTTTGAAGTGATGTTATAAAGTTTAAAGAAGCCAAGGTCCGCAAAATGCTTAGTGCAGGTTTGGAATGCACCGAGAGATGACAAATCTCAACCTGTCTTTATGCTGACACCACTCCCCAGTTTCCGGAGCCTCGGCCACAGTCTCCCCGTGCGCATGCACACCCGGCTCTCCCTTCCAGGCCCTCCCCACCACGTGGGCGCGGCCTACCCTCCCGCAGAGGGTAATAGGCGGAGTCAAGGGGCTGCTTCCGGGATTCTTTCCCTTTTACTCCGGGGAACAACCCTTTCGTCCCTTTCGTATGACTGGCAGCATCATTAGCCAGTAGTGATTAGAGAAGAGCAAGACGGTAGGTGCTTCCCCTAACCTATTTCGGAACGCCTCTTCCAAGTTAGCCAATTGCAAGACTTGGGGGGCGGGTTCTTCTCTGGGGCAGGACAGAGTGACCGGCGTCTCTTTTGGCTAATGGAAACTTGGCTGCGGGTAAGTCATGACCAATCAGAAGCAAGAACGCCAGATCCTGGGGCGGGGCTGGAGCTTCGGCAGTTGAACCGCTCGCGAGGAGGGGTGCCCGTGGAGAAGGTGAGCGGTGGCTGGAGTGGCGGGTGCGCGGCTCGCAGCGGAGGTCCTAGCCGGAGAGAAGTGGGGGGTTCTGTTGGAGGAGAGTGGGCTGCGTTGGGCAGCTGACCCGGCCTTGTGGGAATCGGGAGGGAAGGTGCCCTTTAACAAGGGTAGGCGCTTGACTGAGGGGTTCTGAGGCTGAGCCCAGCATGTGAGTTGGGGGTGATCTGTATTTCGCAGGAGGGTCTTCAGTGGGGGAAGTCGTAAAGCAGGAGGCAGCAGATGGTAAAATATAGAGATGCCCTTGGAATGCAGCGTGGCGATTTAGTAGGTTTTAAGACAGAGGATCAGTATAGCGCACTGTAATTTACAAGCTTTGATTTGGGTGAAAGTCGTGGGAAGAAGCAATATTGAGGGAGGGAGGGAGACCTCCAGGGATGGGGATGCACTTCAAAGAGATGTTAAGCCCTACTATTCCTGTGGCGTTTACTAGGTGCTGTGCACCTGCCAAGTGTTTTAGGTGAATTAACTCTTAAACTTACCCTACCGATATTTAAGAGTGTGGACTCTGGCGTCGGGTTGAATCCTGAATTTGAATCCCGGCTCTGCCACTGAGCGTTACTGTGGCTTTGGGCGAGTTGTTTAACCTTTTCTGTGCCTCAGCTTCATCACTGGTAGAATGATCTCATCTCTGTCTATACCATTGGCTTGCTTCACCCTGTTTCTCTAATGAGAACTCCCAGGTGTGGTTTCCAGCCTGGATCTCTGCCCTGAACTCTAGAGTCATACCGTGGCCGACTTTTCTCTATTTGGAAGTTCATCTGACATTCAGACATAAACTTGTTCCAAACCAAACTTGCTGTTCTCTCCTTTCAGCCTCCAAACCCAGTTGATGGCACATTCATCCTTCCAGGTACTAAGATCAAGAAGCCTGGAGTGTCCTTCACCCTTTTGTTTGACTTATACACGGTCTAGCCATCAGCAGATCGCATTAACTCTACCTTCAAAATACATCCAGAGGCCCGGTGCAGTGGCTCACACCTGTTATCCCAGCACTTGGGGAGGCTGAGGCGGGTGGATCATCTGAGGTCGGGAGTTTGAAACCAGTCTGACCAACATGGAGAAACCCTGTCTCTACTAAAAAATACAAAATTAGCTGGGCATGGTGGCGCATGCCTGTAATCCCAGCTACTGGGGAGGTTGAGGCAGGAGAATCGCTTGAACCCGAGAGACAGAGGTTGCAGTGAGCCAAGATTGCACCATTGTACTCCAGCCTTGGCAACAAGAGCAAAACTCTGTCTCAACAAACAAAACAAAAAAACCCACATCTGGAATCCAACCACATCTCACCAGCTCCTTTGCTACCACTCTGTCCCAAGTTGTCTCTTGGCTCTTACCTGGTGTGTAGCAGTGGCCTTCTGTGTGGGCTCCCTGCCTCTCGCTGTCAGGGGGATCCTAGTAGAACAGAAATCGGATCAGGTTGCTCCTCTGTTCACACCGTCTTCTGGCTCCCACCTTACTCGGCAAAAGTCTTCACCATATCCGCAAGGACCCCCAGCTTATTGAGTTCCCTCCCTTCCTCCCCCTCCCTCCCTTCAACTCCCGTCACTTCTCTCAGTTCCCTTGCTTACTCTGCTGCAGCTACCCTGGCCTCCTCTCTGTTCTTTGAACATGGTGAACACATTGTCACCACAGGGCCTTTGTACTCGCTGTCCACTCCTCCAGGATCAGGTCTCCTTAGATGTCTGCGTGGCTTCTCCGCACCTCTTTCAGGTCTCTGTTCAGATGTCAACTCCACAGCTGGGCACTTGCTGACTACTCAGGGTAAAAGGGCTCCTCTCATGTGGCTCTCACCTGGCTTTTTCTTCATAACACCAATACCTTATACAGATTATTATTCTTATTGTTTTTTTTGAGACGGAGTTTTGCTCTTGTTGCCCAGGCTAAAGTGCAATGTCATGATCTTGGCTTACTGCAACCTCCGCCTCCCAGGTTCATGTATTTCTTCTGCCTCAGCCTCCTGAGTAGCCGGGATTCTAGGCATGTGCCGCCACACTTGGGTAATTTTGTATTTTTAGTAGAGACGGGGTTTCTCCATGTTGGTCAGGCTGGTCTCAAACTCCTGACGTCAGCTGATCAGGCTGCCTTGGCCTTCCAAAGTGTTGAGATTACAGATGTGAACCACCATGGCCGGCCAATATTATTATTTGTAGTATTATTATTTTTTGAGATGGAATCTTGCACTGTTGCCCAGGCTGGAGTGCAGTGGCACCATCTCAGCTCACTACATCTTGTGCCTCCCGGGTTCAAGTGATTCCCCTGTCTCAACCTCCCAAGTAGCTGGAACTACAGATGTGTGCCACCATGCCTTGAATTTTTGTAATTTTAATAGAGATGGGGTTTCACCATCTTGGCCAGGCTGGTTTCAAACTCCTGACCTCAAGTGATCTGCTCACCTCGGCCTCCCAAAGTGCTGGGATTACAGGCATGAGCCACTGCGCCTGGCTTTCGCTTGGATTATTGTTGGTTTATATCCTCTGGGCTTCTTGGACCTCCCCACTAGAGTGTTTGGCTCTATGTGAATATAGAACCCAGCACCTAGAAGAGCACATGGTGTGTACAAAGTGTTGTTTCTCCTATACCGTCCTCACCACCCTTTGGGGTCTTCCTGTGGTGTGGGGCGGGGTTGCTAAGCTGGGAGGGTCTTGTGTCGGGTGGTGGGGTTAGAGGTCGGGGAATACACTGGACAGATTGTGGTGCCCAAGGGTAGAAGGACCCTTAAGTGTCTGAAGGAACCTGGAGGAAATGCAGATTCCGGGGCCCACCCCAGGGTTTCTGCTTGTGTATGTTTGGGACGTGACCTAGGAAGCTGCATTTTCATAAGCACCTGTTTGTAAGTATTACGTTCTTTGGCCATCACTGTGGGAAACATGGCTAGGCTGGTTCAGACTTTGGGCTGGAAGGAAACCACTCTCTTCTCATCCAGCTCCTTCCCTGTGGCTGATGCTCTGCTGGGCAGTGTTGTGGTGATTCAGACAGCTCCTGACCCAGCCTGGGAGTCAGGGAGGGCTTCCTGCAGGAAAGGGCATCAGAGCTGAGACTTAATGAGCTAAGGGGAGAAAACCTTGGCTGTATCCCCAGTGCCTAGAACCCCATTTCCTGGCATCTCCCATGAAATTCACAAGCAGTCCCTGAAGATACAAGATTGATTAAAATGGCTCTGCCCTCATGGGCTCATGGTTTGTCAAATAACGAATCACAGAGATGGTAAGAGGGGTACCAGACACTGTTTGAAGCACCTTATATACATTAAATAATTTAATTCCCTAACAAACCTATAAGGTAGGGGCTCTTATCCCACTCTACTGATGGGGGAAGGCCCAGAGAGGGCAAGTGTCTTGCCTAAGGCCACACCAAAGATAAGTGCAGCTGAGATCTGAACCCAGAAGTCCCTAGCCTGCAGCACGTGCCATGCTGAAGCTGTGAGGCCACATTTGGGTTAGTTCTGGGAGGAAACAGGTGGTCAGGGAAGGGCAGCTCGGTGATGGGAAGGAGGGCAAATGCTTCTGTCCTTCATCATGGGATGCTAGACAAGCCTCAGTTTCATCCTCTGCATAATGGGGCTGGTTATAGTGCCCACCAGAGAGCAGAATTTGGGGTGAGTCATTCATTGGATTGGTAAATGTGCATGGTCTTTATCTAAGGCAAAATGTCTTTGTTTTATTGTGTGTGTGTGTGTGTGTGTGTGTGTGTGTGTGTTTTGTTTTTGAGACAGAATTTATTGCCCAGGCTGGAGGGCAGTGACACAATCTTGGCTCACTGTGACCTCCATCTCCCAGGTTCAAGTGATTCTCCTGCCTCAGCCTCCTGGCTAGCTGGGATTATAGGCTCCTGCCACCATGCCCCGCTAAGTTTTGTATTTTTGGTAGAGACAGTTTCTCCATGTTGATCAGGCTGGTCTCGAACTCCCGACCTCAGGTGATCCACCCTCCTTGGCCTCCCAAAGTGCTGGGATTACAGGCATGAGCCACCATACCTGGCCAGCAAAACATCTTTAAGAGACAGTGGGAGAGGGAGTCTGGATCCCCCAGGGGGAACTGGGGTACTGCATTGTGCCCTATAGATTGCATTGCTTGGTTCCCCAGAGGGCTTTTGTGTCTCTGCATTCCATGGGGACAATGTGGAAGGCTTTGGTCTGTATTCTGGGGCAGTGAAGGGGAGTTCTGTCCAGTCTCAATTCCTCACTTGGTAGGGAGGTGAGGTCAGAATGGGGTCGGGAAGGGGATCATCCAGGTCAGGCAATGAGTGTGAATGTGAGGCTGAGGTCTGCTGCAGGGGAGAACCCAGCTAGGGGATGGCTGCACTGGAATATGTGTTGTTGGTGGTGGGAGCTACAGAGTGTAGGGAAAGAGCCATCCGATGGGGCTGCCAAGGGTAGTGATTTGCCCATGTCTGGTATGGGAGGTAGTGATGGAGATTTGTCTTTGGGAAGCCCTGCGTGGAGAGTTTTCAGCTCCGGCCCTGGGTGAGAGCTGTGAAATCTGTGGGGAGAGCCATTTGGAGGGTGGAGCCAGGGGCGGTGATGTAACCCCGGAAAGGAAAGGGGTCATCCTAGTGAATGATGAGAGGGAGAGAGCTGGGGGCTGACACACTGAATGTGAGTGTGCCGGCGCCATGACGTCATGAGGCCCGAGAACTGGGTCAGGTGTGTGGGCCAGGATGAGGCCTTGGGACAGCCGCTCGGCGCTCACAGGGATGGGGTGGTGACGTCACTGGTTGGTGAGGGCGGGGCCTCGAAGGCACCACTGGGCTGCGTGAGGTCAGGAAGGAGGCAGAGGCTGAGAAGAGCTGGGAGAGGCTCGGGACTGGAGTGAAATCGGCCATCAGGATGAGCCACTGTTCACGAAGCAAGGATGGAGGATGCAGGTAGAGGGACAGGGTCAGCGGCGGGAGGGGAGATGGGGCTCAGGGTCTGGGGAATCCTAAAAGTGGTGGTGGTGATGGGGTAAGTGGGGAGGAGGGGTTGCTCAGAGAGGGCTCTCCAAAGGGAAGAGAGGTGGAAGATGTGTGTGCGGGTGGAGTGGGGGTGGGGGTTTACAAGCAATTTGGGAGGGAACAGAATCCAGGTGAAATGGGGGTTGATGGAATACAGGCCGAAAGTGGGTGTGCGGAGCAGAACCTGAGCATCTATGCGGGCAGAATGCAGGTGAAATAATGGGGTTCATTGAAGTTGAATATGCGGGAGCCCTAGGAGAGCGTGTGTGGGTGCTGTAGGGAGGAAAGTGCGGCTGCCTCCCAGCTCCCGAATCTGGGAGAGCGGGATGGTATGAAGGGGCTTTGGAGGGTAGAGAGGGGGCTGGTTTCTGGGGAATGTAGCACGAGGGTTGGGCTGGCATATATGGAGTGGGAGGTTCTGTAGAGAGGAGGGGAAGAGGAACCTAGAATCCCGTGGTCGTCTGGAGGACAAGTGACGGGCAGCTGGGGTCTGGGAGGCCGTGTGGAGCTGGCACGGGCGTGGGATTTATTCCATCAGCAGTTACTGAGCGCTTAGGACATGCCTAGAGGAGGGGGTGGGGGACGGCAGCGGGCGAAGTTTGTGGAGGTGAGAAAGGTATGAGTGTGCAAGGGGAATTGAGTTGAGGCAGAGTATTGGGGGCTTAGTGTCTGGGATAAGGGCGGGGTGAGGGCTAAGCACCAGGCACTGGGACGCCCAAAGGGGCTGCTATTCGTGGGGTGGGTATGGGGGGTTTCTGCAGGGCGGTGGGGAAGGGAGAGTTGGCAGCGGGGATGTGGTGTGGCGAGCCCCCTTCCTCTGTGTGGTCTCCCAGGAGCTGGGGACCGCGAGTGGGGGCTGTGATGCTGCGTGGCTCCTCAGGTGTTCAGTTCCGTGAGTGCCTCCTACGCCTTGGTAACCGGGACGGCGCTGCCGCTGATTGGTTCTGGGAGCCAGAGGGGTGGGGTTGATGGGCGGGGTTTAGGACACCCAGTGGGGCGGGGCCAGTGCTGCCGCGCACTGTGCTGGGGTCTGGGGATGCGGGATATGTTGAAACATGCGGCCATTTATTTGCAGTGAGATCGAGATTATTTTTTATTTATTTTTTTCTGAGGCAGAGTCTTTCTCTTGTTGTCCAGGCTGGAGTGCAGTGGCACCATCTCGGCTCACTGCAACCTCCGCCTCTCAAGGTTCAGGCTATTCTCTCGCCTCAGCCTCCCGAATAGCTGGGATTACAGGCGCCCGCCACCACGTCCGGCTAATTTTTATATTTTTAGTAGAGACGGGGTTTCACCATGTTGGCCAGGCTGGCCTCGAACTCCCGCCTCTACCTCCCAAAGTGCTGGGATTATAGGCGTGAGCCACTGCACCCGGCCGAGATCGGGATTATTAACCTGGACTTCAGAACCACCAGAGAATGAAAGCACATTGTCAGAGTGTGAATTTTCCAGGGGAAGGGGGTGCCTAATTTCATCAGCCCTTCCAAAGCACCCTGCTCCCAAATAAAGTTAAGAGCTGTGATGTAGAGAGAGATGTCTGTCAAGGTGTCTAGGGCCCAGGTCATTGCCCTTGGGCCTCTGAGAAAAGAGATCTGTGGATGGGCCGGAGGGTGGTAATTTGGGAGCCCCTGAAATGAACTTGCAAAAGGTTGGGGATCCATTAATTTATCTGCTGAAGGCTCAGAGATTTCATTAGATTCTCAAAGGCTCAAGGACTCTCAAAAGGTTAAAAATTCCTTACCTGGAGTTTCAGGGCTCATCTTTTTTTTGTCTCATAATATTATATTTTCTGGTATTAGACTTTATTTTATTTTATTTTTTGAGACAGAGTCTCTCTTTGTCGCCAGGCTGTAGTGCAATGGTGCGATCTCAGCTCACTGCAACCTCTGCCTCCTGGCTTCCAGTGATTCTCCTGCCTCAGCCTCCGGAGTAGCTGGGATTACAGTGATGGGCCACCACACTTGGCTAATTTTTTTTTTGTATTTTTAGTAGAGACAGGGTTTCATCACCATGTTGGCCAGGCTGGTCTGAAACTCCTGACCTCATGATCAACCCACCTTCCCTCCCAAAGTGCTGGGATTACAGGCACAAGACACCATACCTGGCCTACTCTGACCCCCTTTCAAAAGCTTGGCTCATCTTACTCCAGTACCTCCTTTCCCTCTTTCCAGCTTGACTTTTCTGCACAAATGTTTGCTGAATGATGGATGAATGCATAATAAATATATAATGAATAGAAGACTTAATAAGTTAATATTAATCATGATTCTTTTGTTGGCAATCATGTATTTCGTTTGTTTCTTTTTTAAATTGAGTCAGAGTCTCACTTTGTCACCCAGGCTGCAGTGCAGTGGCAAGATCACAGCTTACTACAGCTTCCGCCTCCAGCCTCCCAAGTGGCTGGAACTACAGGTGCGCATCACCACACCTGGCAATTTTTTTGTATTTTTAGTAGAGATAAGGTTTTACCACGTTGCCCAGGCTGACCTTGAACTCCTAAGCTCAAGTGATCCTCCTGCCTCAGCCTCCCAAAGTGTTGGGATAACAGGTGTGAGCCACTGTGCACGGCCCGGCAATCATGCATTCCTAGTACCCAGCGTATGTTGGACACAGCAGCCTGCAGGTCACAGTACCGAGTGCTTTTATGCATATTGCCCAGTGTAATCCTCGCAAGTCCACAAGGTTGGTGCCATTGTTATATCCATTTTCCAGATGAGGAAACTGAGGCACAGAGAGGTGAAGTCGCTTTCCCCGATGCCATAGCTGTTAAATGATGGAGCCAGGATATGGGGCCTGGCCTTCCAGCTTATGAGCCTGGGCTCTCAGCTCCTCTGGGTTTCTGTCTCATCCCCTTCTCCAGCAACGTTGGCCATGGACCAGCCGGCCGGCCTGCAGGTGGACTACGTCTTCCGGGGTGTGGAGCATGCTGTGCGGGTGGTGGTTTCCGGGCAGGTGCTGGAGCTGGAGGTGGAGGACCGGATGACGGCGGACCAGTGGCGGGGCGAGTTCGATGCCGGCTGTGAGTGTGCCTGCCTGGGGTAGGCTCATCTCTCCTCTCCTGGGATCAGCTTCTCCCAGATGAGGCCACCCTGAATCCTGCCCACCTGTCTCTTCTGTGTCACCGGAAGCTCTCCGGTGTCTCGAGGGCTGTAGGTCTCGTTGCTTGAGCCAGAGGCACTGGAGTCGGGGAGAGTTGAAGAGCTTAGATGCATTGCCCAGGGGCTGGGCAAGCGGTCAGACCTCAGGAGGGACTTTTCTCCCCCCCAGTCATTGAAGATTTGACTCACAAGACAGGGAACTTCAAACAGTTCAACATCTTCTGTCATATGCTGGAGTCAGCCCTCACTCAGGTAGGGCCTGGGCTGGTGGGTGGGGGTGGGAGGGGGGTTCTGTCTTCCAGATTCCTGGGGGGGTCAATGCCCATCTGATGTATGTAAGACCCTCTCTCTACCTTCTCTTTCATTGCAGGAACAGGGAGATCATTTTCTTCTTTTGCCAAGTGTAAATGGTTCCTTTTGAATTTAGTGATAGTTATGTAGAAAATTCAGGTCACAGAGAAATATAAAGACGAAAGTTATCACTCCACCCCTAATACTGGCTTCTGTTACTATTATGGTGAAAATCGCTCCAGCTGTTTCTCCGTGTCTATTTGTTTCTGAATATGTGTGTGTGTGCATTTGCAGACCTGTAGTTATATACAGTTTATATATTATCCAAGGTATTCTGCAACCTACTTTTGATGATTTGTTTTTTGTATTGGAGTTTCGCTCTTGTTGTCCGGGCTGGAGTGCAGTGGCGCGATCTCGGCTTACTTCGACCTCCGCCTCCTAAGTTCAAGCGATTCTCCTGCCTCAGCCTCCTGAGTAGCTGGGATTACAGGCACACGCCATCACCCCCGGCTAATTTTTTTGTAATTTTAGTAGAGATGGGGTTTCGCCATGTTGACCAGGCAGGTGTGGAACTCCTGATCTCCGGTGATCTGCCCACCTTGGCCTCCCAAAGTGCTGGGATTACAAGTATGAGCCACCGTGCCCAGCCTGCAACCTGCCTTTAAAGGATTCAACAGTATTTCATAAAAATGTAGTAATATCAGTGAATATAGCCATTTATTCATTTCATTTACTGAGCATTATCAGTGTGCCAGCCATTGTTGGGGACACTGGGGATATGGCAGTGAACAACAGACAAATCCCTGTCCTCATGAGGCTGACATGTTAGTGGGAGAGACAGACAAGTGAAAAAATATATAAAGTCAGGTACTTTAAAGTAGTTTTTTTTGTTTTTTGTTTTTTTTTGAGTTGGAGTCTTGCTCTGTCATCTAGGCTGGAGTGCAGAGGCATGATCTCAGTTCATTGTAACCTCTACTTCCCGGGTTCAAGTGATTCTCCTGCCTCAGCCTCCTGAGTAGCTGGGATTATAGTCACACACCACCATGCCTGGCTAATTTTTGTATTTTTAGTAGAGACAAGGTTTCACCATGTTGGTTAGCCTGGTCTCGAACTCCTGACCTTGTGATCCGCCTCAGGCTCCAAAGTGCTGGGATTCCAGGTGTGAGCTACCGCGCTTAGCCAAAAGTTTTTTTGTTTGTTTGTTTTAAGATGGAGTCGCACTCTGTCTCCCAAGCTGGAGTGCAATGGTGCAATCTCTGCTCACGGCAACATCCGCCTCCTGGGTTCAAGCGATTGTCCTGCCTCAGCCTCCTGAGTAGCTGGGACTGCAGCCATGTGCCACCACACCCATCTAATTTTTGCATTTTTAGTAGAGACTGGTTTCATCCTGTTGGTGAGGCTGGTCTCGAACAACTGGTCTAAGTGATTCACCCAGTTTGACCTCCCAAAGTGTTGCGATTTCAGGCATGAGCCACCATGCTCAGCCTAAAAGTAATAACTGGGGAGAGGAAAGCAGGTTAGAACTTAAAGTGATAGGGATGGGTGGTATTTAGATATCTTTTTTTTTTCAGACAGAGTTTTGCTCTGTTACTCAGGCTCAGTGGCCCAGTCTTAGCTCACTGCATCTCTACCTCCTGGGTTCAGGTGATTCCCATGCCTCAGCCTCCCAAGTAACTGGGACTAGAGGTGTGCCTGCCATGCCCGGCTAATTTTTGCATTGATTTTTTTGAGACACCATCTCTGTTGCCCATGCTGGATGGAGTGCAGTGGTGTGATATTGGCTCACTGCAACCTCTGCCTCCTGGGTTCAAGCGATTCTCCTGCCTCAGCCTCCCGAGTAGCTGGAATTACAGGCACGCACCATCAGGCCCAGCTAATTTTGTATTTTTAGCAGAAACAGGGTTTTGCCATCTTGGCTAGGCTGGTCTTGAGTGATCCCCCAGCCTCGGCCTCCCAAAGTGCTGGGATTACAGGCATGCGCCACCTCACATTTCTTAAAGGTTAGTTGCAGTGTGGATTCAGAAACCTCATCAGTGAACTTTTTGTTACATTAAATTCCACTGACTTATTCTGCATTTTGCGTGGGTTTTTTTTGTTGTTGTTGTTGATGAAATTTGGTTGTTGTTGCCCAGGCTGGAGTACAATGGCACAATCTTGGCTCACTGCAACCTCCGTCTCCCAGGTTCAAGCGATTCTCCTGCCTCAGCCTCCCGAGCAGCTGGGATTACAGACATGCACCACCATGCCTGACTAATTTTGTATTTTTAGTAGAGACGGGGTTTCTCCATGTTGGTCAGGCTGGTCTCGAACTCTTGACCTCAGGTGATCTGCCCGCCTCAGCCTCCCAAAATGCTGGGATTATAGGCATGAGCCACTGCGCCCGGCCACATGGTTCTTTTTTTTGCCTGTGGATGATTTTGTAACCTCATGCATTGGTCAGTACTGGTTCACCAAGTTGTGCAGATTTGTCAAATGTTGACACATTTCCTTACTTGATATCCTGAAGTCAGATTTGTTAATATCCTCACCCGTCTCCCTAGGAAAGTCTTTGAATGCCGAGAAGCTATCAAACACCCAGTGGAAGACAGAAGTTTTCCAAAATTCTAATTTTAAGTACAAAGCTTGAATTCGATTATTGGCAAGACATCCCGTCAGCTGTTTTTCTTGAAGTGACAGGCTCACTTTGTTCATTTTTGAGAAAATGTCTGCCAGATAGCCCGAGTCTAAATAACCATAGTTTTGTCTGTCAGTCGTTTTTTTTTCCCCAAGTAAAAATAGTGTTCCGTGAAAAGCGGCTAATTTAGCTCACAAGTCAGTTGCACAAGCGCTTTTTCCTGGGACCGTCGTCACACTCTGGCGTGTACAGAAGCCCTTTCTGTGCACTCGCGATTTTCCAGCACAGTGTAATAAAGAGCTGTGTCCTCTCGGGGCAGGATTCAATGTAATTAATAACTTTTACTGCTTCATCAAGAACATTCTGACGTTTCATTTCCTGTGTTTTATTGTTGATTTGCTTACTGTTTGTTTATTTCTCTTCCCCAGCCCCCGACTGAGACGGGAGAGATACAGCAACCTCCAGTACCATTTGGTACCAGGGCTTGATTTCTGCTAAGGCACCAGCAGTTTTTCCCACCATTGCTTTTGTAGCACTCACACACATGTCAACACAGTGAAAAAGACAAACGATGTCTTTGTATTATTGTGAAAGTAGCTTTGGGCCCCGTTCGATGGCTCATTGCCTATAATCCCAATACTTTGGGAGGCTGAGGCAGGCGGATCACGAGTTCAGGAGTTCGAGACCAGCCTGGCCAACATGGTCAAACCCTGTCTCTACTAAAAATACAAAAGCTAGCTGGGTGTGGTGGTGGGCCCCTGTAGTCCTAGCTACTCAGGAGGCTGAGGCAGGAGAATCACTTGAACCTGGAAGGCGGAGGTTGCAGTGAGCCAATATTGCACCCCTGCACTCCAGCCTGGGGGACAGTGAGACTCCATCTCAAAAAAAAAATAGAAAGCTTTGACCTCAATGGAGAGCCCCGAAAGGGTCTCGTGGACCCCCCAGGGATCTGCAGACAGCACGTGGAGAGTCACAGGTCTAAGCTGTTGTCTGTGATTGAGCATTTAGGTTCTTTCCGGGTTCTCCCTTCGAGGAAGTCCTTGTGTCAGTCCCTGGGACAGGGTCATGTTGATCGCCAGCTTTGTGTAGGAAAGCCTAGCCCACCTGGAGAACAGGAAGGGCTGCTGTCCAGGTGTGTGCTAGCTGCCCTTAGTGTGGCGGTGGCGGGCGCTGTGCAGCTCTTCCTCTCCTCTCCTGACAGAGCAGTGAGTCAGTCACTCTGGACCTGCTGACCTACACAGACCTGGAGTCCCTGCGGAACCGCAAGATGGGGGGCCGTCCGGGCCCTCTGGCCCCCAGATCGGCCCAGCTCAACTCCAAGCGCTACCTGATCCTCATCTACTCAGTGGAGTTTGACAGGTGGGGAGGAGGAGCGGGCTCCAGGGCCAGGCTGGTGGGCAGGGTGGGACAGGATGTGGGGAGACCTGCGGAACCCCTGGCACCCAGGGCAAGGTGACACTGGTTAAGCCTTGCCTTTGGAATCTTCCCCGGTGGGGTCTGTGTCATTTAGTATTGTGTTTGGCTACAAGCGGCAGAATAAGCATCACCAGTGCCCTAAACACACAACACATCAAACAAGCAACACGTCACATAACAAGACGTCTAGGTAGGTGGCTGCCCCTGTGCAGCAGTCCCACCAGGGACTCAAGCTCTTTCTTTTTTGTTGTTTTTCCTCATTTGCGATCGGCAGTGTGTTCACTTTTTTTTTTGAGACAGAGTCTCGCTGTCACCCAGGCTGGAGTGCAGTGGTGCAATTTCGGCTCACTGTAGCCTCTGCCTCCCAGGTTCGAGAGATTCTCCTGACTCAGCCTCCAGAGTAGCTGGGATTACAGGTGCCCACAACCACATCTAACTAATGTTTGTATTTTTAGAAGAGACAGGGTTTTTTCTTGTTGCCCAGGCTGGTCTCGAACTCCTAGCCCCAAGTGATCCTCCCGCCTCAGCCTCTTAAAGTACTGGGATTACAAGCATGAGCCACTGTGCCTGTCTTGGCTTTTTGACTTCATCGTTATCTCTTCATGGTCACAAAATAGCTGCTGGATCCCCTAGATATAGCATCTTTATCAAGGCAGGAAGAAGAGGGACAGGGCTGAGTTTGCTAATTGCATCTGCTGGTTTTATCATGAAGATAAAAGAGTTCCATACCTGTAATCCCAGCACTCTGGGAGGCTGAGGCGGGCAGATCATGAGGTCAAGAGTTCAAGACCAGCCTGACCAACATGGTGAAAACCCATCCGTCTCTACTAAAAATACAGAAATTAGCCTGGCATGGTGGCAGACGCCTGTAATCCCAGCTACTCAGGAGGCTGAGGCAGGAGAATCTCTTGAACCTGGGAGGCGGAGGTTGCAATGAGCTGAGGTTGCACTCCAGCCTGGGTGACAGAATTTTTTTTTTCCATTTCAAAAAAAAAAAGGAGCGTTCCCAGAAGACTCCCAACAGATTTCCTGTAATATTTGGCCAGAAGAGGTCATGTGCAAGGGATGCTGGGAAAATGAAGAGCTGGCTTTCTAGCCTTTATGGGGGAGGCAGCAAGGGAGTTGGGAATGGCCCTTGTGTAGCTGGGTGACTGTGTCTGCCCCATGTGTTAGTGGCCACTGGATTTCCTACTGGGAAGTTACCAATTCCCTGTGAATAGTATCTCATGGGGCAGTTAATCAAGATGCCCTCCCTTTCCCCAGCCAAGCCGGGGTGACCCAGGCCAGGCCAACCAGGATCTCCCACTGTGGCATGTGAATTAGGATTGTGCTTGCAGGTAACATGATGCCAGCATTCCCTTCATCACCACTATGCGACAGGGAGGTTACCCCAGGCTACACCGGGGCTGACAATCCCAGTGGTCCCCACATTGCTATATAAGAGGCTTTCAGAGGTGGTGACTGGAACAAGGGGTCTGGGGACAGGGAGGGGCCTTGAGGCTGTGCTCAGAACTTAAGCCTCTAGGACGGTACCATTTCTGGAATTGTGTGTTTTCGTATGCTGTGACTCTCAGACTCTGGTATTTACCCTCGGGTGCATTCTTGGCCTCTGAGATGTCGCGGTTCTAATCCTACCTCCTCAGGATTCACTACCCGCTGCCCCTCCCGTACCAGGGCAAGCCAGACCCCGTGGTTCTGCAGGGCATCATCCGCTCACTGAAGGAGGAACTGGGCCGCCTGCAAGGTCTGGGCGGCCAGGACACTCGGGACACCCGGGAGACTGAGATCTGGCACCTGCGGGAGCAGTGAGTCTTGGATGGGTGGGCAGCTGGGGCAGCTGGGGCGGTGGGTGCCCTCCCATCATGCACCGCGGGGCCCATGCTCAGCCCTGTGTCCCTCACCCAGCATGTATTTATTCTTTTCTTTTCTTTCCAGGCGGAGTCTCACTCTTTCACCCAGGCTGGAGTGCAGTGATACAATCTCTGCTCACTGCAGCTTCCTCCTCCTGGGTTCAAGCGATTCTCCTGCCTCAGCCTCCCAAATAGCTGGGACTACAGGTGCTCACCACCAAGCCTGGCTAATTTTGTATTTTAGTAGAGATCGGGTTTCGCCATGTTAGTCAGGCTGGTCTCAAGCTCCTGACCTCGAGTGATCTGCCCACCTTGGCTTCCCAAAGTGCTGGGATTCCAGGAGTGAGCTTCCACGCCTGGTCTCTGAGCCTCTCTTCTGCACCTGCTTTGTGCCAGGTGGTGCTGGGGACACAGTAGTGACCAAGACTATGCTGGTACTGCCTTCCTGGGACTCTCAGTCCAGTGAGGGAGGCAGATGTGTTTGTAGACAGTGAAAGGCTCAGAGTGGGTGGGGGACCTGACCCTGCCTGGTAAGGGAGGGAGGGGTGTTCTTGGTAAAGGGAGCTGCATGTGCAGAGGTGTGGGGAGGTCGAGCTGTATGCGGGTGAATCCACCTTCATGGGGTGCCTCTTTTGTGCTATCCCCTCCCTGCCACTCATGTAGTACCCAGCCCTGGGGGAGATGGATGCTAATTACATAACCACCTGAATATATCATTGCAGACGGAGGTGAGTGAGGCAGAAAGGGAGCCTGTGCTGTGGGAAGCTGTCACAGGACCCCACTGGGGTATGGGGTGGGTCAGGCACAGGGTTTGGGGAAGAGCGTTGTAGGCAGAGGGAACGGCATGCGCAGAGTCCTTGTGTTGGGTGGGAATGTGGTGAGAACAAGAGAATGAATGGCGTGAAAGAAGCAAAGCCTTTTGATGCATATATTCATGCCTGCCATGTGCTTGGTTCTGTTGGGGAGATGAGTCTGGGGCTTGAGCTCTACTGGGAAGAGGCCTGGCTCATTGGGGAGGACTAATAATATTTTTAGTAATAGTAATACCAGTAACTAATAATTAGCAATAATAATACAGTTACTGAACATTTAACTGTATGCCAGGGCTGCTCTGTGCTCTATGATTGGATTCATTTTATCCTCACAGCCACCCTGTGGGAGGTACTGCTATTATCTCCATTTTACAGAGGCCCAGAGAAGTCAGGGAACGTGCCTTCAGGTCACACAGTGGGTGACATGGGCAGGCTGGATCTTAGATCCAGGTAGCACCGTTGAACCTCTGTTGATTCCCCAGCTCTTTGCACTGTTGGTGGCTGCAAGCCTAGGACCGAGTGATAAATGCTGATGGGAAAATCAGTTCTTAGGGAGCTCATGGGGCTGGGGAACCCCGTCGGTCTTCCTGGAGGAGCTCGCCTGTGTACTGCTGGGCCAAGGAGGGCAGCAATTGGGAGGCCAGAATGAACAGTAGCATAGGTTTCATTCTCAGTTTATCCTCAGGATCTGCTCTGGTGGGGGCCCAGTCGGGGGTGGGGGGAAGTGTGTGTGTGTGTGTGTGTTTCTAGGTTTGTGTTTATGGGTGTGTAATCAGAGAGAATGTGTGTGTTTCTAGGTTTGTGATTATGGGTGTGTGTTTCCCAAGATGGCCACAAGGTAGCGCCCTCCACCGTTAGGAACCAACCACAGGAGCCTTGCTATGAGTGTGTGTGTATCTGTGTGTGTTTCTAGGTTTGTGTTTATGGGTGTGTTTCCCAAGATGGCCACAAGGTGGCGCCTTCCACCTTTAGGAACCAACCACAGGAGCCTTGTGGGGTGTGTGTGTGTGTGTGTCTAGGTTTGTGTTTATGGGTGTGTGTTTCCCAAGATGGCCACAAGGTGGTGCCCTCCACCCTTAGGAACCAACAGGAGCCTTGCTCTGTGTGTGTGTGTGTGTGTGTTTGTTTATGGGTGTGTGCTATCAGAGAGAGTGTGTTTCTAGGTTTGTGTTTATGGGTGTGTGCGATCAGAGAGACTGTGTGTGCGTGTTTCTGGGTATTTATGAGTTTGTGTGATCAGAGAGACTCTGTGTGTGTGTGTTTCTAGGTTTGTGTTTATGGGTGTGCGTTTCCCAAGATGGCCACAAGATGGCATCCTCCACCCTTAGGAACCAACCACAGGAGCCTTGTGATGTGTGTGTGTGTGTGTGTGTGTGTGTGTGTGTGTGTGTGTTTCTAGGTTTGTGTTTATGGGTGTGTGCGATCAGAGAGAGAGAGTGTGTGTGTGTTTCTAGGTTTGTGTTTATGGATATGTGTTTCCCAAGATGGCCACAAGGTGGCACCTTCCAGGCTTAGGAACCAACCACAGGAGCCTTGGGATCCCAGGGCTGCTCAATGGCTTCTTACCTTCCTCTTCCCAGGCAGGAATTAGGAAGTTTGGGAAGGTTCCGAGACTTATTCATTCATTCAGCCAACATTTATGGAGTTCGAACTGTGTGCCAAGCACACCGCCTGACACTAGTTAATGTTTATTATGCCAGAGATGGTCTAAGCACTGTAAATAGATGCGGACAGTGGAACAGGTGAGAAAAATGGCGTGAGGCTCAGAGATGTGAAGTGAAACTGCCCAGGGCCACCCAGCTTGTTAACAAGGGCGCCTGGCTGTGCAGCCTGGGGTCCTGTGAACCAGATAGATGGAGGCTCTGCCCCCAGAAATGTGGGATCCAGATGGGAAACATACTCTCCTCTGCATGCCAGCTCTGCCTGGGTTGGTGCTAGGAAGGAAAGGTACAGAGGGCTGGGAGAGCGGAGAACGTCAGGGGCAGCTAGGCTTCCTGGATGAATGGAGTCTTTCCTGCCAGGAGGAGAGATTGTTCTTGGAGGTGAGAATTGCATCTGGCTGGAGCCTTGTGGGAGAGGGAGGTAGGAGGAAAGGAGAGGAGTCAGATGGGCAGAGGCTGAAGGGAAAGCTCCTTGGTGGAGAGTGTGGGGAACCCCAGATTTTAAGAAGGATTTATTAGGAAAAAATCCAAGCACCACATAAGTAAACAGTAGTATAATGTGCATGTATGTGTCCCCGGCTTCAGTAGCTACCCACTCGCCCATCTTGTTTGATGTGCTGCCCCCCCCACCCCCGCCCTGAAGCAAATCCCGGTCTTCGTAGCTCCTCTGTAAAAGCTTCACTGTGTATCTTTTTTGTTTGTTTGTTTTTGAGACGGAGTTTCGCTTTTGTTACCCAGGCTGGAGTGCAATGGCGCGATCTCGGCTCACCACAACCTCCGCCTCCTGGGTTCAGGCAATACTCCTGCCTCAGCCTCCTGAGTAGCTGGGATTACAGGCATGTGCCACCATGCCCAGCTAATTTTTTGTATCTTTAGTAGAGACGGGGTTTCACCATGTTGACCAGAATGGTCTCAATCTCTTGACCTCGTGATCCACCCGCCTCGGCCTCCCAAAGTGCTGGGATTACAGGCTTGAGCCACCACACCCAGCCCACTGTGTATCTTTAACATGGAAGGATATCAGTGCTGCTATCACCTCCAACAAAGTTAACGAAAATTCCGGCCGGGCTCGGTGGCTCACGCCTCTAATCCCAGCACTTTGGGAGGCTGAGGCAGGCGGATCATGAGGTCAAGAGACCAAGACCAGCCTGTCCAACATGGTGAAACCCCGTCTCTATTAAAAATACAAAAAAATTAGCCAGGCATGATGGTGCGCGCCTGTAGCCCCAGGTATTCAGGAGGCTGAGGCAGGAGAATCACTTGAACCCGGGAGGCGGAGGTTGCAGTGAGCCGAGATCACCACTGCACTTCAGCCTGGGCAACAGAGCAAGACTCTTTCTCAAAACAAATGAACGAACAAAAAAAAAAAATCACAGAAAACCCACAAAAATTCCATAATGTCACTTGAAACCCATTGTGTGTGCATTCACACTTGTCTGATGACCTCTCAGTTGTCTTTTCTGCAAGCGGCTTCTTAAAATTCATCTTTTATCTAAAGACGGCTGCACATTGCACTTCGTCGAGGTCTTTCCTTCCTTCCTTCCTTCCCCCTCCCCTTTCGTCTTGCTCTGTAGCCCAGGCTGGAGTGTGGTGGTACAAATCTGGGCTCGCTATATCCTCGATCTCCTGGATTCAAATGATTTTCCCACGTCAGCCTCCTGAGTAGCTGGGACTACAGGCACTTGCCATCATGCCTGGCTAATTTTAGTTTTTTAGGGTTCTTTTTAGAGACAGGGTTTGCCCATGTTGCCCAGGCTCGTCTTGAACTCCTGAATGCAAGCCACCTACCTGCCTCAGCCTCCCAAAGTGCTGGGATTAGGCATGAGCCACTGAGCTTGGCTGAGGTATTTCTTAAACCTCTTTTAATTTATATCCCCCTCTCTACTTTTCATGCTCTTTATTTGTGGAAGAAATCAGGTTATTTGTCCTGCAGACTTTTGCAGTCTAGATTTGGCTGATTTTTTCCCCCTATCAAGCATCCTCAGATGGAAAAATGAAAAACAGGTTTTGCTGATTTTATTGCCATGGTGTCATTTAATGTCCTCCTCTGTCTCCTGTACTTCGAGTGAAGCGGTGGCTGAGCCTGTATATTTTTTAATTAGATGTGGGGTAGGTTTTGGCAAGATACCTCCTTCGGTGGTGGTGTGTACTTCCGATTGTCAGGTGGTGTTGAGACTGATGAATTCAGCTGTTGAGAGCTGGCTCCCTCTTATAAAGTTCTCTTCAGCCTTTCAGTGCAGTGGTCTACTGTGGATTTGCACTCAAATTGCCTGGGAGCTTTGAAAACTCCCAGTACCCTGGCTGTCCTATAGACACACCATTTCTTTTTCTTTTTCTGAGGCAGAGTCTCACTCTGTTGCCCAGGCTGGAGTGCAGTGGCTTGATGTCGGCTCACCACAACCTCTGCCTCCTGGGTTCCAGCGTTTCTCCTGCCTCAGCCTCCCAAGTAGCTGGGATTACAGGCATGTGCCATCATGCCCAACTAATTTTTGTATTTTTTTAAGATGTAGTCTTGCTCTGTCGCCCAGGCTGGAGCGCGGTGGCACGATTTTCGTATCATGGTCTGAATCTGGTCTCGAACTCCTGACCTCAAGTAATCCACCCATCTCGGCCTCTCAAAGTGCTGGAATTACAGGTGTGAGCCATGTGCCAGCCCTATTTTTCTTTTAAAAAATTTCGTGAGCAGTGAGGAGTTCCGGGGCAGGCCCTGACTCCTCCAGACACACCATGTACACCTGAATCTCCAGGATGGGCAAGAGCCCCACGACTTCCATTAACTTTCTTATTGTGAAATATAATACACGCCAAAGGGCATAAAATATAAATGTACAGTTTCACAAACGATCATAAAGCCAACATTTATGGAGTTCGAACTATGTACCAGGCACACTACCCAACATGAGTTAGGCTGGGACTCCATGTAACAACTAGGCAGGTGAAGAAATGGAGGCCCGTCGTGGTCACACCTGTAATCTTAACACTGTGGGAGGCTGAGGTGGTGGATCACCTGAGGTCAGGAGTTTGAGACCAGCCTGGCCAATGTGGTGAAACCCTTTCTCTACAAAAAATACAAAAGTTTAGCTGGGCAGGGTGGCCCATGCCTATAGCCCCAGCTACTCGAAAGGCTGAGGCAGGAGAATCACTTGAACCCGGGAGGCAGAGGTTGCAGTGAGCTGAGATTGCGCCACTGCACTCCAGCCTGGGCAACAGAGCAAGACTCTGTCTTTGCCCCCCCGCCCCCCCAAAAAAAAGAAAAGTTGAAAGTGGTCATTTCCCCACAGCCTCTGTATGTCTTTTTCTAGGAGAGACCCTCCTACCCAACCGTGCTCCCAGATGCACCTAATCACTCACTCCATTTGCTTATGGTTTTGCCAGCTGAACCATGCATCCCTAAACAATATAGTTTAGTTTTATCTTTTTGCACTTAACTGTTTTTTTAGAGACAGAGTCTCACCCTGTCACCCAGGCTGGAGTGCAGTGGCACAATCTCTGCACACTGGACCCTCTACCTTCCGGGTTGAAGTGATTCTCGTGCCTCAGCCTCCTGAGTAGCTGGGATTAAAGGCGTGTGCCATCATGCCAGGCTTCTTTTTGTAGAGACAGGGTTTCGCCATGTTGGCCAGGTTGGTCTTGAACTCCTGGCTTCAAGTGATCCACCTGCCTTGGCCTCTACAGTGCTGAGATTATAGGCATAAGCCACTTTGTCCATCCAGAGAGGTCCAATTTCTGTTCATTTCCCCCTTCCCCATAAATAATCCTCTCCCCCCCACCACAGATGTTGGTTTATTCTATTATATAATTTTGGAAAATATAAACATATAATTTATAGTTCCTGTTTCTTTTACATAAAGGGAGATACTGGAGATACTGTCTGCCCTGTGCTGTTGTGGCAGTCACTTGGTGACGGGTTATAGAGATGATATAGTTTCGTGGTACTCAGTTGAGTAGATGTGTTAGAAATTCAGCTAGTTCTCTTTTGATGTACATTTTGGTTATTTCCACTCTTTGGTTATTGCAGATTGTATTGCAACGAATAGCCTTGTGCATACATTTTCTCAAGTAAGGGTTTTGAGCATGGTGGTAACCTGATCGAATTTGTATTGTAGAGGATTTCGTGACTGGGAGACAGCGAGAGTGGCCTGGCCAGGTGGGAGGAGGAGGGAGGCAGTGCTAGGCTTTCAGGGTGTGGACAGATTGATGAAATTGTTTAGAATTGGAACTCACGTGGCTGTGTTCCCACTCCTTCACCTGCACCAGGGGTGTGTGTGTGTGTGTATGTGTGTGTGTGTGTCTGTGCGTGGTGGGGTCATGTCCTCTTCGTGGGATAGATGGGGGTGATGTGACCATATCCCTCCTCATACGTCGGAGGGGAGATAATAGGACCCTGCCCTCCCCATGGGGGCAGTTGAGAGTGATGGAGCCGCGTTCCCTCTTCGTGGGGAGGTGAAATGATGGGGCATCCCACCCTCATAGAGTAGTGGTAATGGGGCCATGCCTCTCTCCCCAGCGCTCTCTCCCGGTCTTCCCCAGGGTGTCGCGCCTGGCGTCCGAGAAGCGGGAGCTGGAGGTGCAGCTGGGCCGATCGCGCGAGGAAGCGCTGGCTGGGCGCGCGGCCCGCCAGGAGGCCGAGGCACTGCGTGGGTTGGTGCGTGGGCTGGAGCTGGAGCTGCGGCAGGAGCGCGGCCTTGGGCATAGGGTGGCCGGCCGCCGAGGCCAGGATTGCCGCCGCCTGGCCAAGGAGGTGAGCGGCGGGGACCCGGGGGCGGCCGGAGAGGCGTGGACCTCGACCTCAGTCTGGACCTCTGCGCCCCCTCCCCTCCCTGCAGCTCGAGGAGGCGAAGGCATCCGAGCGGAGCCTGCGCGCCCGGCTGAAGACGCTGACCAGCGAGCTGGCCTTGTACAAGAGGGGGTGAGAGGCGAGGCCCAGGGGCGATTGGGTGGATGGGTGGGGGCCTGAGAGGGGGTGGGACTTAAGAGGCAGGGTGGGGCCAGGTAGGGTGGATGGGGCGGGGCTTAAGGGGAGGCAGGGCTTAGTGGACCTCCCGGAGCCCAGACGTGTTTCTGGTGCGGTGGTTAGAAGGGGAACCCCGTGCGCAGGCTTGGGGTTGGAGTTCAGGAGGAGGGACTAGGAAAGGGGCCGGCCCAAGGGTCTCCTGGAGCAAAAGGGTGCGGCGCAGCAGGTGGGATCAGGGTGAGGTCTGCTGGCATTTATGGGGTGGGTGGTGGAAAATTGGGAAGGTTTTCGGGGAGTTGTGGGAGACTCCAAGAAGAAGGGTCTGGCGAAGAGGATGTGTTGAAAAGATGTAGGGAAATGACAGACGGGTGTTTTAGGGGTTTGAGTGGGGCCTGGGGGAAGGTATCGGGCCCAGGAATACACGTCTAGGAGCCAATGGGGATGGGACTGAGGGTTCAGAGAGGGTGCGGTACGGGAGGAGCCTCGCGATTGGGTTTGTCGGGGCTGGCGGGAAGCTGACAGCTACCCCTGTGGTCTCAGGAGGCGGACTCCTCCGGTGCAGCCGCCCTTGGCGCGGGAGGACCGGGCCTTGTCGTCCCGGGAGCGCTCCACGTCGCGAGGTCGCGGAGCCGCGCGCTCCTCATCCCGGGAGAGCAGCCGCGGGAGCCGGGGTCGAGGCCGACCCGCGCGCCCCTCGCCCTCGCCCACAGGTCTGTGCCCCTGCCCTGCGGTGGGGAGGGGATGCACTAGCGCTGCCGAGGCCCGTCCTGGGACCCACCCACCCGCCTCCTCTCCCACGCTGTCCTAGGTGGTCGCGCGCTCCGCTTCGACCCCACGGCCTTTGTGAAAGCCAAGGAAAGGAAGCAGAGAGAGATCAAGATGAAGTCAGTGCCCCTTCCTCCCTCTCCTGCTCCCGCCCCTGCCCCGTGCCCGCTCCCGGGCGCTCATCTCTGTACCATTATCCCTCTGCACCCTCTGCCACCTGCTCGCTTCTCGCTGGCTACCCCGCCCGCTCTGCCTTCGTCTGCCCCACCTCCTCGTCTGTGTTTCCGTTCGCTTTCCTCTCCTAGGCCCGTACCTCGGGCGGTCGTCGGCGTGGCTGTGACCTTTAGGGGCGCAGCGACTCCCTTGCCCGCAGGAGTTGGGTGCACAGGCCGGCGTCTCCTTTCTTGCTTCCCAGGCAGCAGCAGCAGCAGCGGAACCGATTAGGCAGTGGAGGAAGCGGGGACCGTCCGTCCATCTCCTGGCCTCGCCACACCCGGCCCCCTGCTGCCGTGACTGGACGAGGGGACGCCCCTAACCGCTCACGAAACCGCAGCTCCTCTGGTAACCGGCCTGGAGCTCAGAGGCTGGGACTCGGGGCCGGCGGGCTGGGCGGGGCTGGCCGGAGGGGCGGGGCCGGGAGGTACTGGGCGGGGCCGACGGGTTGGGAGGGGCTGGGAGGCACTGGGCGGGGCCGGCGAGGGCACGAGAATCATGCCCTCCGTCTCCCTCTAGTGGACAGTTTGCGCAGCCGCTGCTCCTCAGCCAGCTCCTGCAGCGATTTGGAGGATTTCTCTGAGTCGCTTTCCAGAGGGTAAAACTTGGACTTGGGGAAAGGACCACCTCGAAAGGGTTTCTGGGGAGACTAGAAACAGTCTTTTGCAGGGAAATTGGGTGATGGAGGCTGGGGGCCTTGAAACCACAAAGGTGGGGGACGTGGGAAGTTCCAGAGCCTCCCCACAACTGGTCTTTGATTACTCCTTTCTCGCAGGGGTCCCCGCCGCCGTGGCAAGCCTCCTAGCCCAACGACCTGGAGTGGGCCCAATACGGTGAGTAGAAGGGGTAACATAAACCACTGGAACACAGCTGTCCACATTTGCCGTGACTCCTTCCTGGGGACCAAGTGCAGAGGCGACTCTGAATGCTTTTGGCAACAGGGCTTTTTTGTTTCGAGAGGGTCTCGCTCTGTCCTCCAGACTGGGGTGCAGTGGGGCAGTCGCCACTCATAGCAGCCTTCAATTCCTGGGCTCAAGGGACCCTCCCACCTTGGCCTCTGGAGTAGCTGGCTACTAGACATTTTTTGGGGGGAGGTGGGGTTGAGACTGGGTAAGGGGGGTAGTGTTGGCTCTTTATGTTGCCCAGGCTGGCCTGGAACTCATGGCCTCCAGCCATCCTTAGCCTCCCACAGCGCTGAAGTTACAGGCTAAGCCACCACACCTGGCTTGGGAACAGCATGTTTAGAGAGCTTTGGATTGGAGGAGGAATAATGAGGGGCACGTGATGCTCTTTAGGGCTTTGGCTTTTGATCGTCAGGTCTTAAAACCTGGGTCCTCCTCCTACCAGTTGTATGATTCCGGGCAGTTTTTTTTTTTTTTAAAGACAGTCTGGAGTGCGATGGCAGGATTTCAGCTCACCACAACCTCCGCCTCCCGAGTTCAAGCAATTTTCCTGCCTCAGCCTTCCCAAGTAGCTGGGATTATAGGCGCACACTACTACACGCAACTAATTTTGTATTTTTAGTAGAGATGGGGTTTCTCCATGTTGGTCAGGCTGGTTTCGAACTCCTGACCTCAGGTGATTCGCCTGCCTCAGGCTCCCAAAGTGCTGGGATTACAGGTGTGAGCTACCGCGCCTGGCATTCGCCTCTCTGTACCTTAGTTTTTATCCGTTAACCGGGGATGGTAATGGCATCACCTCCGGGGCTGTGTGAGCATGCCAGGAGGTTATTTTGCATATAATGAATGCCCAGTAGGTGTCAGGCTTTATTTTTAGCCAAGGTCCTTAGGCTCAGGATTTCCAGTGGGATTTGGGGGGACAGGACTAGAGAGACGGTGGCTGACCCCCTTTCCTACCTTCCCCATCACCAGAAGTCTACCCCTGTGGAATGCAGCCACCGTGAGAAACATCTGGCCAATTCTGGGGGCTGGGTCCCCATCAAAGGTGAGCCTGGCACTCCACATCCCCTCTCCCAGCCCCAGCTCCTGTTGGCATGGTAGGGGGCAGTGGTATATTGGGGACCCCCCCACACCCACACCTGCTCTCACAGAGTACAGCTCGGACCACCAGGTGGCTGACATGGCTGAAATAGATGCACGTCTGAAGGCCTTGCAGGAGTACATGAACAGACTGGACATGCGGTCATGACATGGAGAGGGGGTACTGGCCCTCCATCCCCCACCCACTACTGAGTATGGCATGGGGGGTGGGGCCTGCCCTGGCCCCGCCCCTCCACGTGCCCCTGGGGTCTCAGGTGTGTGAGGCCCTGATCCCAGCCTCTCCCCTGGCAGTACATGCTGGGAGGGAGGATATGTGTATTTTGTAAATAAACATATTTGCCCTTGGGACCCCTCAGCTTATGACTAAAGGGTGAGGGTGGAGTGGGGAGAAATGTAGAGGAAGAGAAATTGCGGGGTATAACTGGGAACTGGGTGTCTGTGCCTCAGAGGCAGATTGGAACTTAGGCCCAGGAAAAGCTGGCATACTCTCTAAATAGTGCAAGGGCAGACCTTGGGGGAGGAGTGAGTAGCCCATCCCCAAAGGAGTCCAAGCAGAGGTTCTGTGCAGGATGTCTTTGGCTGTGTGCTGGGAAGGGAGTATCTTGCAGCATGGTTCACTGCCCGGGAGGACCCCCAGCTGCTACTGTGACATCCAGGCCGCCGTGGTGCTGATTCCTGGGCTCTGACCTGAGACCTCTGGGTTCTGAGCTGTGATGTTACTCTCGAGCTGGGATCTCCGGGGTCTTGGTTCAGGGCCGGGGCCTCTGGGTTTGGAGCACCAGCAAGGAGAGTGCTGGGAGTGAGGGGGTGGGAGGGAGAGAAGGAGGGAAGTGCGTGGTGAGACCTGCCCGGGAATACGTTTTGAGCTGCAGCTGCACCTTTATTGGAGGAGGTGGCAGTGGGGTTTTGGCCGTGGGAGGAGAGGAATGGGGTGCCGCCCAGCAGGGCCTCAGGTGGCGCGGTAGTGTGGCCAGTTCTGGATGATGTTGTAGAGCTGGTCGCCTGGAGAGAGCGTCCGCTGCACATCCCGGTGCCCTTTGACCTCATATTTGGAGTTCAGGGCTCTCTGAGCCACGCCGCAGGCCAGTAGACTCTGGGCTGCCCGGAGGGCCCGGGCTGGGGGTACCCGATCTGGGGGAGGCAGAGGCAGGAGTGAGGCGGGGGCTTCCCCGAAGGGCAGTGGTAGTGTAGGGTAATGGGTTTGATGTTTCCTCGGAGCTGGACTTCACTCTGTGCCTCAGTTTCCTTATCCATGAGAGGAAAGAATAATGGCACCTACCCACAGGGCTGTGGGAGGGTAAGAGGAATTACTTTTACATAAAATCCACAAAATGGTACCTGGCACAGAAGAAGCCGTTAGCAAGCCTTGGCGGTCATAGTGACGATGGCGTATTCTCTCATTCCCCTGTCACCAGACCTCTGGCTCCCGCCCACAACAATAGCTAACATCAATCAAGTGCTTCTTAGGGACTGTGGCCTGGCGGAAGGATTTTATATATATATATATATATGGAGTCTTGGTTTGTCACCAGGCTGGAGTGCCGTGGTGTGATCTCGGCTCACTACAACCTCTGCCTCCCAGGTTCAAGTGACTCTCCTGCCTCAGCCTCCTCAGTAGCTGGGACTACAGGCACCTGCCACCACGCCTGGCTAATTTTGGTATTTTTAGTAGAGATGGGGTTTCACCATATTGGCCAGGATGGTTTCAATCTCCTGACCTCATGATTCGCCCGTCTCGGCCTCCCAAAGTGCTGAGATTACATGTGTGAGCCACTGCGCCTAGCTGGTGGAAGGATTTTTGTGTCAATCAGCTAATTCTCACCCCCACCCTGTGGTTGGAAATGACCCCCATTTTCCAATGGTGGAAACGAGGCTCAGAAAATTGCCCAAGGTCATGGAGCTTGTAGGTGGTGGAGCCTGCCAGCCACTGGCCACCATGTCCCTGCCCTCCTCAGGCCCCACGTGAGCCCCCATCCCAACTGGCTGGACAGTTACTCACCCATGTAGTTGCCCATGAAGGTGATGCCGATGGACATGGCGTTCCAGAGGTGACTCGAGTGGTCTCCCTTGAAGCCCCAGCCACGGCCCTCATACACGAGCCCGTCTTCTCCAATCAGGAAGCTGCACGGGGAGGTGGGGGGCTTGATTAATGAGGGGGGCTTCCCGAGAGGGACTCCTGCCCTTTCCTCCACTCACCTTACCTCTGTTCCTGACCTGGGACACACAATTTCCCCAGCATCCTTCTCTTCCCTTAATTTTCCACGACTGGTAACAATGACTGTGATCATATATTGGGCCCCTGGCATGCGCCAAGCACAGCTCTGCATGCAGCCTTTTCTCCATCCTCACTGCAACCCTGTGAGTCGCCAGCTCCCCCATTTTATATAGACAGGATCAGAGCGATAGAATCACCTGCCCCGCGTCACAGCCCGTCAGGGGCACAGCTGGGCTTTTCACCCAGGCCTCCGAGGTCCCCACCCATGTGATCTTGTGCCTTGCTCCCTCCTGCCTCCCTAGGGGATTTCTGGAAGCCTCATTTTGCTGAATCCTTGCAGGACTGTCCTCTGAGGCAGGGACTGTTACCATCCTCATCTTAAGCTGAGAGAGCTGAGACTCAGAAAGCGATATGATTTGTACAAGCTCCTCAGAGCCCCCTTCATCTCAGAACTCTGCTCTTGCCCCAGCCCCAGCCTGCCTCCTGCCCCCGGGTCCACTGGGGCGACAGGATCAGAGACTCAAAGTTGGTGTCACAACAAGATACCGACCCTGGAGCCCCAGCACTGCCTTTTGGAGGTCTCCAAGCCTGGCATGATCCTTAAGGCTGATTCATTCAGTACATCTGATTGAACACATCTGACTTGGCACATGGGAATGAACTAGAACATCAGTGTCTTGGAGCTGCAGTATGTGCCAGCTCAGCCCTGGTGCTCACAGCGTCCTTAATGATGCACAGAATGTCAGAATTTCAGAATCTTGAGTCCTGAATCTGCCGCTTAGGAAGCCAGCTCCCAGAATCTGGCCTTGGGGATGCTGACTGCTGTGACTGACTGGTTATGGCTGTGCCTTATTCCTGGTGCCTGGCATGGCAGTGGAGGGGTGGGGGGGTGCTTGGTTCTCCCTGGTCATTTGTTGCATGAATGCATTTAAACCTCAGCCACCATCGCCAAGCCGGCACAGTCAAAAGCCCCATTTAAGGTCGAAGAAACTGAGGCTCAGAGGGAGAACGTGACATGACCTGAAAAGGGGATTCAGAACATTAGAACCAGATTCTGAATCCTAAAAGCTGAGCGCCAGACTTCAGGCTGCTTCTCTATGGTGGTGTAGCCCGAGGCTGCAGAGCCAGGGTTGGCTCTTCATGACCTCATGGGAATGCTTAGAATCCAGCACTTGAGTCTTAGAAACAAAACCTTGAATTTGGAGTCTTTGATAAACTCTTGGAAGAGCTTGGAATACCTTTGGAAACCTCTAGACTTCTTTGGGTGGGGTCTGTTTTTTTGTTTTTGGTTTTTTTTTCCATGACATAGTCTCAGGAGGTCCTGAGAGCCTGTGACCGCGGTGGGGTCTATCTGGGACCTGGGGATCTGGGGACCCATGTATACCTCCAGTAAGCTCTGCAGGGGATTCTGATCCTTACCTGGGTCTGAGCCTGCAGGGTTCAAACCTTCCCTCTCCTTGGAAACCCTCAGGCTGGATTGCAGCCAATTGTAAGGAGGCGGTAGCTGGTAAGCGTGGCTGGGACGCGCTTCAGCAGGCACCCTTTAGAGTCTGTTCTCCCCATGGCCGCCAGAGGGAGCCTCTTATACTTACACCAGCCCGCGTCCCTGCTCTGCACGGAAGCCTCCCGTGGCTCCCATCTCATAGTAAAAGCTACAGTTTTCACTGTGGTCCACAAGGCCCTGCCTGGTCCCGCCCTTTCCTTATTTCATTCTGTTCCTCCGGCTGTGTTCAGCCACCTTGTCCTTCCCACGGGACCTGCCCACTCAGCCCCGTTGGCTTTGCGTCCTGCACCCCTCCTTCGGCTCCCACATCCCAGAGCCAAGGCAGCCGCTCTCCGGGAGGCCTTCCCTTGCCCCACCCTTCCAAGGAACCCTGTGTGGGTCTGGCCCCAGCCTGAGGTCCCGCTCTCACCTTGTTCCTTTCATCCATCACCTCTGTCACCCTCTGAATTCACCTGTGGCCTAGGCTTGTTTCTCCCTGCGAATCTTTCAACCTTGGGAGGCTAGAGTGGCACCGTTCTCCATGGCACATCTGGCACGCTGCCTGGCGCATAGTAGGTCTCTAAAGGCAATAGCTCGTGGCTTTGCGAGCCCCTGTGTGCCAGGCAGTGTCCTAGGTGCTTTGCCTGTATTGGTTCATTAAAGGAGCAGGTGGGCGCAATCCCTTGGACTTTGCCAAAGAGGAAGCTGAAGCTGGGAGGACCTGCCCCATCTGGGGAGGGACCTGCCTCAGTCCTCAGCCAGAGTAAGCTGAGCTGACCCTGGAACCTGGCTCTGCACTGAGTCAGCCTGGTTTTCTGCCTCCTAACAGGCACCAGGCATCAGGAAGGGGCGCCTTCAAAAGGTGTTGCGGACACGTTGGTGTGTTTTAGGCAAAGCCTGCCCCTTCCTCTGGGGAGCGGGGCTTGGATTTCAGCCTTTCCCCACCTCCCCATGGCATCTTTGTGCTGTGCGCTCCTGCCCCATGTCTGTCCCGGCCCGCATGGTGATCCAAGGGAGAAACGAGAACTGCGAGGTTCAGTAAGCTGCCCGGGGTGTCAGCCCGGTGGCCCCAGCACTGATCCCGCTGGCGGGGGCTTGCACGCCTTTGCCTCTGGGGTCCCCGGTCCGGCCCGTGCCTCCCCGCCGCACTCACTTGTAGCCCACGTCGCACCAATTCTGTGTCTTCATGTGGTAGTACTGCACATTCTGGGCCTGCTGCTGGCACGAGGCTGGGGTGTTGCAGCTGCTGCCCGCCGTGTGCGACACCACCACGTAGCGCACGGGCTGGCTCAGGGGCGTGGTGCACTTTGACCCCAGGGCCCCCCACTCCCTCCGTGGCACTATGGGGCTGCAGCAGGCCGGGGCTTCTGTCTTCTGAGCCTCCCCGAGTCGAAGGAGGCTGAGGAGAGCCCAGGCGAGCAGCGCGCCACGACGGGACATAGCGGCAGGGGCGTGGGGACTGCTAGGAGCGCGCAGTGGTGGGGCCGCCTTTATCTGCTGGGGGATTCCGGGAGTGGCCCGGAGAGTCTTGCTTCACACCCTGCTGGTACTTCCTCGCTGGTCCAGCAGACCCCAGACTTGGCTTCCTTCTCTGGCAGGGCCAGGACGGGAGGCACTGGGGTTGGGGTCTGAGTGGCGCCCACGGCAATGAAAAGGCCCCTCGGTCAGCAGGGAGGGACGCACAGGCCTCTGGGCACTTCGCTCTGCCGTTTCTGGAAGACCTGGGGCCGGGATCCCGGTCCTGCTTTTCTCCTCTCAGTGGGACATTGAACAACTCAACAGGAACTTACACTGCAGAGGCCCCAGGGCATTGGCACATCTTCTCCCCGCAAGGATTGAGGTAACAAAGGTGCCTATTTTAAAAACACTTCCTTCTCCCAGGTCCAAGCCTGATGCCATTTACCCTTGCAGCAAACTCAAGAGTTGAGTATCTGGAAGCCCATTTCACAGTGGAGGAAACTGAGGTTGGGAGCAGGGCAGTCACGGGCTGAGACACCAGACTCACTGGAGTCCCGTCCAGAGCCAGACTGCCTGCGTGTGAATCCTGGACACTAAGTGTGCGGGAGCCTGCAAAGGATTTTTAAAAATGTGTATTTAAAACTATTTTTAATTTTATTTTTTATAAATATTTTACTATTTTTTTTTCTTTTGAGAGGGAGTTTTGCTCTTGTCACCCAGGCTGGAGTGCAATATCGTCATCTTGGCTCACTGCAACCCAACTTCCTCCTCCTGTGTTCAAGGGATTCTCCTGCCTCAGCCTCCCGAGTAGCTGGGATTACAGGCACCCACCACCATGCCCAGCTAATTTTTGTGTTTTTAGTAGAGACGGGGTTTCACCATGTTGGTCAGGCTGGTCTCGAACGCCTGACCTCAGGTAATGCACCCGTCTCGGCCTCCTAAACTGTTGGGATTACAGGCGTCAGCCACTGCACCCGGCCTATTTTTTGTAATAATAGAACTATATATATATATGGAGAGAGATGGGGTCTTACCAGGTTCCCCATGATTGGTCTTGAACTCCTGAGCTTGAGCCATACTCTCGCCACGGCCTTCCAAGGTGCTGGGATTACAGGCATGAGCCACCGTTTCTGGCCACTCTCCATGTGATTTAACCTTCCCGTAGGGATGATATATAAAGTACCCAACTCAGAGGGTTGATGAGGGATTAGTTGAGTTGCAGAAGCAGAGCCCTTAGAAGGTGTCTGGCACAGAATGCCACAGCCCTACCCCTGGGCCTGGAACTCCATCCTGCTCTTGGTAGGAAGAAACATGCTTTGTACATGGGTTAGGGAGAGGAGGGAATCTGAGGTCTGGAGAGGAACAGCCATTTGCCCAGGGCCAGAGTGGGTTCGGGTCACCTGTTGGTGCAGAAGGCTTTCCTGGGCCCTCTGTCCTGCCCAGGTCCCCTTCCTATGCCTTCCCAGTGCTCGTGGCGAGTTCAGGGCAGACTGCCTGGTTCACTCTTCTTCCCCTTCTACTTTACTGGCTCTTTAAAAAATTACAAAAGGGATCTCTCATTTGCTCTCTGGCAAGGAAATAAAAATAAATAAATTACAAAAGTAACACATGCTTTAAGAAGTTGAATTGATACAAAATGTTAGTCACCTGTATCCCACCCCTCCAGCTCTGCCCACCTGAGGCCACCTGGGAACAGTATGGTATGTTTTCTTTATCTTTTTATATTTTTTTGAGACAGAGTCTCCCTCTGTTGCCCAGGCCGGAATGCAGTGGCTCCATCTGGGCTCACCGCAAGCTCCACCTCCCATGTTCAAGTGATTCTCCTGCCTCAGCCTCCCAACTAGCTAGAATTACAGGTGTGTGCCACCACGCCCAGCTGATTTTTGTATTTTTGTAGAGACAGCGTTTCACCATATTGGCCTGGCTGGTCTCATACTCCTGACCTCAGGTGATCCACCCGCCTTGGCCTCCCAGAGTGCTGGGATCACAGGTGAGCTACCGCGCCAACCAGTGTGGTGTGTTTTCATCCTCCGTGTTCTGCATTCTCACGTACGTTGTCCTCATGCTGCTGTCAAATTGTGCACTAGGCATCTGTAGCACTTTTCAGAAATTATCATATACTCACAATAAGCTTGCAAGATACATGTTATTATTAACCCCTTTTCAGTTGATGAAACGGAGGCTTGGAGCGGGGGATGATCACATACAGGAGGTGGTGAAGCCAGGGTTTGGACACAGGCTTTCTGCCTCCAGAGTTCTAAACCGTATTCTCCTCCCTACAAACTTATATAAGGACATTAAAAAAAAATTCTAAACCACCTGCCTCAATTTACCTTTTGTCGCCTAATATTTTATGGGCATCTCTCAAGTGCAGTACATCGAATTCCAATTTATTTCTTATAATAGTTGCACAAGATGCCATAGTATTGGTTCAGCATTGTGGATGTTTTAGTTTTTCAAGGTTTTCCAGTTTTTTTTACCCCACTACACAAAGTAGTTTCAGACACACATCCCTATGCACTGGTGCATTTATAAGTAAATTATAATCACAGAGTTATTAGGTCAAAGAGCATACACATTTAATTAATATTACTAGATTGTTTTCCCCTAAAGGCTAGTAATACTTCATATTTTTCTTTTCTTTTTTTTTTTGAGACAGTTTTCTTTCAGTCTTGTTGCCCAAGCTGGAGTACAATGGCACAATCTCGGCTCACCGTAACCTCCACCTCCCAGGTTCAAGCAGTTCTCCTGCCTCAGCCTCCCAAGTAGCTGGGATTACAGGCATGAGCCATCACACCAGGCTAATTTTTTGTATTTAATAGAAATGGGGTTTCACCATGTTGATCAGGATGGTCTCGAACTCCTGACCTCAGGTGAACCACCTGCCTCAGCCTCCTGAAGTGCTGGAATTACAGGCATGAGCCATGGTACCCAGCAATAATTCATATTTTTGGAGCCTCCTCATGCCAGAAATGGGTGTTATTACCTATTTTTTTTTTTTTTTTTTTTTTGAGATGAAGTCTCACTCTGTCACCCAGGCTGGAGTGCAGTGGTGCAATCTCAGCTCACTGCAACCTCCACCTCCAGGGTTCAAAGCCATTCTCCTGCCTCAGCCTCCCAAGTAGCTGGGACTACAGGGGCATGCCACCACACCCAACTAATTTTTGTATTTGTAGTAGAGACAAGATTTCACCATGTTGGCCAGACTGGTCTTGTACTCTTGAGCTCAGCTGATCCACCCACCTTGGTCTCCCAAAGTGATTTTTTGTCAATTACCTATTCATATCCAGTGCCCATTAAAAAATATTAGGTTGTTTGCCTTTTTGTTATTATTCACAAAATGAACAAAAGAATCCCATAATTGGGATTGAGTTCTTAGGTGTGTACATTTTGTGTATTTTGGGTTTTTTTAGACACACTAAAGAGTAACATAAAAAGTGTACAAACACTTTTTTAAAACAGAGTTGATAGACTTAATAGAGTAGTGAGCTTATGAATTTTCATGAAGTGAATCCATCTGTGTATCCAGTGCCTGGATTAAGAAATAGAGCTACACTTAAAATTTTAATAGGAATTAGCAAATGCAATACCAAAAAGATTTTAGTATTTATTTTTTCTACAATATGATCAGTTTTTAAGTGTTTTACTAATCCAAAGAACAAGATCTCATTATTGCTTTATTTGCATTTCCTTGAACATTTAAGAGGTGATTATCTTTTTACATGTCTATGGCTATCAACATCCATTTTCAAGTCATCTGTTCATCTCTTCTGATCATTTTCTTGTTGAGTTATTGTATATGGGGGATATTAGCCCTATGTCTTAGCAGATGTGCTACAAACCTTCTAATCTGTTTTTAAAAATCTAGATTTTTCTTTTATGGTTTCTGCGTTTCTTGTCTTGCCTTAAGAGGGACTTTCCACACTAAGATTGTAAAACGTTTTCTATTTAAAAATTATTTTGTGTTTTACTTTTAGATCTTTACCTGGGCTAAAATGTATACTTGCGTGTGGTGTGAGGTAGGGGTCTGAGCCTGTTTACAGATGGCTGGCTGTTTGGCCAAATGCCATTTATTATATAAGTGATATGGTTTTAAATTTCCATTCTGACCCTTATTAGCTGCGTGATCTTGGGCAACTGGGTAGCAGTTGACACAGTCAAGCACTTCCTTCCTGAAATACTTATTTCCTTTACCTTTCGTGATGTAAGATTGCCTTGATTTTCCTTCTGCTTCTCTGGCTGGTCTTTATCCCTCTCTCTTTTTTTTCAGAGTAATTTTCCATCTGGACCCTCACAGTATACATTTTGTGCTGAGTAACCTTATCTACATAATGGCTTTAGCTGTAGTCTAAATGGAGAGGATTCCTGTATTTTAGTTTCTAGTCCAGAGCGCTTAGCTGAGTTCTGGATCTTTGAATCCACCTGCCCACTGGATGCCTCCACTTGGCCGTCCCACCGGCACCTCCAATGCAAAATGACTCATGACCTCCTTCTTTACATCAGCACTCTCTCAGGAGTTCCCGTCTAAGGGAATGGTATCACGATCTTCCCATTACAAAAGCCATAAATTTGAGCACGATCCTTGACCGGTTCCTGTTCCTTCCTCTGTTGTACCCAGCACCCAAAACAATGCCCAGCATATAGTAGGGGCTCACTAAATAGCTACTGAATGATTGAATGGATATGCAATTTACCACCAAGTCATGCCATTGTGATGAATTAGACCTATCTACTTCCAGTCTCTGCACCCTGGTCCAGCCATCGCCTCCTCTCACCTGGATTTTGCCCTGCTTCCTTCAGTGACCTCCCTGCATGAACTCTGGGCCTCTGTGAGGCCAAAACTCTGCTCAGGTCTTTTCTGAAGGTCACCCTCAAAAGTGAGTCACATTTTTCAGTGGCATCTCATGATCCCTAGAATGAGGCCCAAGCTCCTCCCCATGGCCCACAGTGTGGGCTGCCCCCATCCTAGCCTCACTGTGCTCACTCCCAAGAGCCTCTTTCTGACTCCTGCAGCCACTCTCCCCTTCTTGCTGCTCTTGGACATGCTTTGACTTCTCTGCCCCCTTGGGGACTTCAGACACACCACGTACAAGTTGTAAATAGAGGAAGCTGGAACAATTCAGGAACTTTGTACCTTAGCTTTGAGATGACAAAACACCAAACCAGCCTTTTGTAAGAAGACAGGATTATTTACACATCAGATTCCTTTTTATATTTGTATTTTCTTTTTTTCCCTTTCGTCCGTTCCTTCTTTTGAGGGACAGATTCCTTAAAGACACTAAGAATATAAACATGAGCCAGGGAGTGAATCCTTCCCTTGTGACAGTTTTATTTTGTCTGTATCTTTAAAAAATTTATTTACTTATTTTTTGAGACCATTTCACTCTGTTGCCAGGCTGGAGTACAGTGGCCCAATCTTCGCTCACTGCAACCTCTGCTTTTTGGATTCAAGCAATTTTCATGCCTTAGCTTCCTGAGTAGCTGGGATTACAGGCATGCATCACCACACCCAGCTACTGTTTTTTTTAAAAAGTAGAGATGGCATTTCACGATATTGGCCAGGTTGGTCTCAAACTCCTGACTTCAGGTGATCTGCCCACCTCAGCCTCACAAAGTACTGGGATTACAGGCATGAGCCACCATGCCTGGCCATATTTACTTATTTATTTTTACGTACAATACAAACACTTTAAATAAAGTTGAAGATCATCTCTGTGGACTAAGTGGTTAAGCCGAACACCCAGGATGCAGCTGCCAAGTTCAGGGTAGCCCCAAGTCTCTTGCTCTGACTCCAACAGTTGGGTGAGCTTGCTGTCTGTATGGCACACCGTCTTTTGTGTTGTGGATGATGCAGCGGCTCACGTGATCCATAAGTTTTGTGTGTACCTGCGTGCCCTGTCCCTGTGAGCTGGTCCTGCCCAGCATCCTGGTGACCTTGAGGAAAGAAGCTGAGGTAAGACCTGACCTGTCTGGCTCCTCTACTCCCTTCCTTGGCCTGCAGATTCCAGCCCCTACCTCCTTATTTTTTTTTTTTTTTTTTTTTTTTTGAGACGGAGTCTTACTCTGTCGCCAGGCTGGAGTGCACTGGCGCAATCTCGGCTCACTGCAACCTCCGCCTGGGTTCAAGTGATTCTTCCGCCTCAGCCTCCCGAGTAGCTGGGACCACAGGCAGGTGCCACCACACCCAGCTAATTTTTGTATTTTTTTTTTTAGTAGGCATGGGGTTTCACCATGGGCAGGATGGTCTCAATCTCTTGACCTCGTGATCCGCCCGCCTCGGCCTCCCAAAGTGCTGGGATTACAGGCGTGCTGGGATTACAAAGTGCTGCGCCCGGCTCTTTAAATTTATTTTTTATTTTTTTTCAGAGACAGAGCCTTGCTCTGTCCCCCAGGCTGCAGTGCAGTGGCACGATCTCGGCTCACTGCAACCTCTGCCTCCCAGGTTCAAGTGATTCTCTTGCCTCAGCCTCCTGAGTAGCTAGGATTACAGGCATATGCCACCATGCCTGGCTAATGTTTGTATTTTTAGTAGAGTTGGGGTTTCACCATGTGGGCCAGGTTGGTCTCAAACTCCTGACCTTGTGATCCACCCACCTCGGCCTCCCAAAGTTCTGGGATTACAGATGTGAGCCACCGAGCCTGGGCAATTTATTTTCATTTTAAATTTCTTTTTAGAGGCAAGGCTTTGCTTTGTTGCTCAGGCTGGAGTGCAGTGGCACCATCATAGCTTACTGCAGCCTCAAACTCCTGGGCTCAAGTGATCCTCCTGCCTCGGCTTCCCAAAATTCTGAGATTACAGACATGAGATACTGCGCTGGGCCTATTCTGTATCTTGTGGGTATAAGATTGAAACATGCCTTGTGGGCATTTACTGCAACTTCAATGAGTGATTATTATGTTGCCTTTAATCCTATATTGTGCACTTTTGTTTGATAGGAGGAAATTAGATTTCTTCCCTATATGTTTTAGAAAATTAAGGTTTTAAATATCAGACTCACTAGCTACCCTGATCCAATCTGTAATTAATTAAGTCAGATAAAAAACTCCTTCTTGGCTGGGCACTGTGGCTCACACACCTGTAATCTCAGCACTTTGGGAGGCTGAGGCAGATGAATCACTTGAGATCAGGAGTTCAAGACCAGCCTGGCCAACATGGTGAAACTGTCTCTACTAAAAATACGAAAATTAGCTTGGCGTGGTGGTGCGTGCCTGTAATCCCAGCTACTTGGGAGCCTGAGGGAGGAGAACTGCTCGAACCTGGGAGGCGGAGGTTGCAGTGAGCCGAGATTGAGCCATTGCACTCCAGCCTGGATGACAGAGGAGACTCTGTCTCAAAAAACAAAACAACAACAACAACAAAAAATTAAAACATTAAAAAAGTGAAACTCCAGTTTTCTTGCTATTAGCAAAAACCATTCGTGTTCTTTGTTGTGTTAAAAATTATAAAATCAGATGGTGATGATTAACTTTTAAAAAACATATATGAGATATTTCACAAGGACATATTTAAAATACAGTGCAGAATCTTGACTTAGCCTTCACTCCTTGCTGCTCCCAAGCCTGGGATGCGCTCTCCCGTCTTTTACCTCTCCTAATTGTCACCTCCTGTTTCTTCTGTCACCTCATCAGGATGACATCGCCTGTCTGGTATCTTGGAGGAGGACGGACTCCCCTATTCGCTTTCCTCACGTCGTTTCTTCTGTGCATTTGCCACAATTGTAGTTTCTAATTTACCTGTTTTTCTAATATTGTTGGTGCAAAGGTAGTTGCCGTTTTTGTCATTGAAAGTAATGGCAAAACCCAGTTTCTTTTGTAGCAACGTAATAGATTTCTGTCTCTTCCAGTATACAATGTGGTCTATAAGGAGGGTCACCACGTAACATATTGTCCAAATCATGCCACTTGAAAGTGCTGGGAGGCTGGGCACAGTGCGTCAGGCTTGTACTCCCAGCACTTTGCGAGGCTGAGGCGGGCGGATGACCTGAGGTCAGGAGTTCAAGACCAGCCTGGCCAACATGGTGAAACCCTGTCTTTACTAAAAATAAAAAATCAGCTGGGCATGGCGGCAGGCGTCTGTAATCCCAGCTACTTGGGAGGCTAACGCAGAAGAATCACTTGAGCCCGGGAGGCAGAGATTATAGTGAGCCAAGATCACCCCACTGCACTCCAGCCTGGGCAACAGAGCGACTCTGTCTAAAAAAATAAAACAACAACGAAAAAAAAAAAAAACCCAGGAGTTCCTGCACCCACATTCTAGTGGGGAAGACAGGGAGCAAATTAACAAACACCTAATAACTATTTTTAAAAACAGATATGAGATATTTCACATGGTAACGCGATTGGCGTGGTGCGGGTCAGATAAACCGGCTCCCAAGTCGCATCCTCAGCTTGGTCCTGGCGCCGGGGAAAAAGATGCTACGCGGTTTCCTCCTTCAGCCACCAGAGGGTGCACTCTCCCCGTTTGTCCTCTTCGGCGCACTTTTTCCCCCTCACCTGTTAGTCACAGGGCAGCCCCTTAGCGGGACAGGGATCCTGTTTTGTGACTTCCTGAGGGCCTGCCTCTCCCAGGGAGTAGTGTGCTCCTGTGAACGGTAATAGCAACAATAATGTAGAGACTAATAATGCAGAGTACTGAGTTTTATGCTGAAGTCCAAAGTCATAGGACATTTCATTTTTTTCTTTTTTCCCTTTAAAAAAACTGGATGGGCGTGGCTCGCGGCTGTAATCCCAGTGAGTAAATGCTAACGAAAAAGTAACTGTTTCCAATGCTATATTTCATGTAGAAACCATGGATAGAGTGCTAGATAGAGTTTTGAGAGAATTTTGGTAATGTTTGAGGAAATTACCCGATAGTATTAATTGAACTAGGAACATTAAAATAATAGAACACAAGTTTCTACATTCTGAAAATTTTCCATCCAACATACTTCCCAAGATGGATTCACTCAGCATAAGGGGAGTGTGTGCCGCTCCCAGTTCACATGATCTTTACAAACACGTTTACTTTACTGGATGCTTGCTAGTCAACAGGAAACTGTAGCTCAGAGAGGTTAAGTAAATTTTAAAATTCCACAGCTGGTAATGGCGTAGCTGGGTCCCTAAAGTCATGAGAATTATGAGAGTGTTATGGGAACGTTAAAGGCACTGAAGCCAGAAACTGATAAGACCATTGATCTCTGAGGAGTGTAAATGAGGGGGGACGTAAAAGGAGGGGAAGGAGGCTATTTTTAATTTTTAAAAACCATGTCTGGAAGTTTTATTCCCTACACTCCTGTCTTTGATGATTTAGGGAGAATCCAGGCGTGGGCAAATACCCAAGAGCTAGAGATGCTTTGTTCTCCTGACTTGAGTCTCAGTGCTTTCTTGTTGCAGCTTTTGCTGCTGCAGCAGGGCATTTAAGCAGGAAAGGATCGAAATGTGCAGGTGGAACACAGCACTCCACCCACCCAGGCAGAAAGCAGAGGCACTGGTGAGGCCCAACCCCCTCCCTCACTGACATCTGCCTACCTAACATGCTTTCTGAACATCTGAAATTCCACCAAATTCCTGCCTGTCACCTGGGAGAGGCTCCCTAAGGCCAGGTGGAAATCACACCCAGATGGCACCAGAATGATTCAGCCCTTTCTGCACTTGTTCCAGAGGGGAAGCCCATGGCAGGAGGAAAACCCAATGCTCTCCTGTGTGCCACGTTCTAGCAGCACCTGGGGTCGTGGAAAGTCTTTCCTGAGACTCGCTCAGGGCTGCCTGGGATCAGGGGCTGCTTGCCTTTCTGGAGGAGCTGGGCCCAGGACTGAGAGGGGTTGCTGGGCTGGGACAGGGGAAACTGGGTCTAGTCTAGATGGTGTCTCTGACCTATAGGGGTCCTTCATGTCAAGGTGTTCCTTATATATAGGGAACTAGGGTGAGAAAATATGACCAACAGGTGTTGGAGTTTACTCTTATTTCCCAGGAAGCCATAAGAATCCTGTGGCCCTGGAAAGAGAGACAATGACTTTCCCCCAAGTTATGTGAGTTCCCAATAACTAGGGACGTGGCAGTGAGGGATGCCACCCTGCTCCCTGTCCTCAAACAGCTCTAGGTCCACTGTCCCTAGACAGTGACAACCCGGAGCTGGGAACGCACAGGCAGCTGCTTTGGTAATTTTAATATGGGGTTTTAGTGACCCCTGCCGATTGCTGGGAAAACCCCCACCAGGGAATTGTGAACTTCAGGAGAAATGACACAGGTGGTTATGTATGTGGAATGAATTTTCTTCTTGTTTTTTGAGGCAGAGTCTCGCTTCATTGCCCAGGCTGAAGTGCAGTGGCACAATCTCGGCGCACTGCAACCTCTGCCTCCCGGGTACAAGCAGTTCTCCTGCCTCAGCCTCCTAAGTAGCTGGGATTACAGGCACCCGGCCAGCTAATTTAGTAGAGACGGGATTTCAGCATGTTGGTCTCGAACTCCTGACTTTAGGTGATCCACCTGCCTTGGCCTCCCAAAGTGCTGAGATTATAGGTATGAGCTACCACAACAAGCATGAAATAAGTGTTAAAAGTTAAATAGGACCCAGTGATACCGGAGTTAAGAAACATTTTAGGCAGATAGAGAGGGTAAAAAAGTCTTTGGTAAGGCTTTTCTTTTAATGAAAAGCCGCCCCCCATCACATTCTTTTCTAACAACCATCAGCCGTTAAAATCGAGCTGCAGACATAGAAGGGCAGGCTAGAAGCTTACACAGGTGACTGCCAGCAGTTGTACCGATAGGAAAAGGCTACCTGGGACTGGGCATTTTCAAAATAGTGGCTCCATCTTCTTTTCCTTTCCACATGTACAGTAGACAGCAGACAACATGGCGTCCACCAAGTGGAAAGTCCATTTGCACAATACAATTAGGGAGGGGCGGCCAGATTCCTCGAGCACTATGTAACTGTCACAGCTCTTCCAACAACCTGTGGGCCCTATGGGAATCAGACACCGCCTCCTCAAACCTGTGGATAAGAGCCAGTACACTCCACTGTGGCTGGAAGTCCCATTCAGGTGCCTCTTGAGAAAGAGAGCGCTTTTCTTCCTCTTTTGCCTATTAACCCTCTGCTCCTGAGCCCGCTTCCTGTGTCTGTACACCCGGTTTTCTTGGCATGAGACCCTGAATCTTGGGTGTTTACCCCAGATGATGACACCACTTTACCAGTTCAGCACTCCCTAAGAAGGATTCAGGCTTGGTCCCGTGTGAAGCAGGTGGGCAGTTAAGCAGGTGGCTTTGGCTAGTTTTTGAGCATGAGGCCATGGCGAGGGTTGCTGCATGTGGGCTGGAGTTTGAGTGATTTCAACATTCTTCTGCTGCCAAGAGAGCGCATGGTGTGTCCAGATGTGCACTGGATGTGACCGAGAAGGGGCCGGGACGCCGACAATATCCAGAAACAGAATGTTCTTATCATACAGGGAGATGAACAGGGCTACTGGAAAACAGCTTCTCTGACCCTTTGAGAAAATGTAGAGAGAAGATTCCAGCCCAGGGAGGTTTGACCTCAAAGTGTCAGGATTGCTGAGAGAGGGACTCTTGCATCCACAGAGCCCTGGCCCTGCCCCGCTGCCCTCCCTCCGACCCGGCTTCTGACACCCCATTTACCATCATCATCTCCCACTGCCGCTTTCTCTACCTGGCCTGACTTGGCTGCCCTGAGAGATGGGGGTCAAGGCCAAGGAGGGCCGGCTGGGCTCCTCTCTCCCCAGAGATGCCAAGCCCACCCTGCCCTGTGGAATGTGCTCTCTGGCACTGGCTGGTCTCCAGGCCTAAATTCAACTTTGTTTTTACCACAAAAAACCAGGCCAAATGTCACGCCCCATCTCAGCCTACAAAGCACCTAGGACTGACTCTGTGAGCTCTCAACTCATTTTTTTGGGGGAAGACAACATGCCAGGGCAGTTAATAATTTTAAGAAAACAGAAATGAGCCTGTGCCCAGAGGATTTTTTCCTTCCAGTGTTTAGTAATTGTTTGGCTGTGACTCACTAGGAGAAAGTCACATTGCATCAGTCTGAAGGAAAGTTTAGACACTGATGAATAAGACTGTGCTGTGCACACTCCTCTATTTCTGTTGAGTCTAGTTTAATGTGTAAGATACCCATGGTGACAAATTGATTCACAACCTGAGAGTGTCACAATCCCCATGTTGGAGATCACTGCTCACCCTCCAGCTGCCCGAGAGGGGTGTAGGAAGAGATGGCTGGGGCAGGCCTGCGTTACTTATAGTTAAAAGATTACAAGCTCACTTTGCTTTTTATACACTGAGATTTGTGCCGCGGATCATATCCCAACTATGATGCAGTAACATAAAAGCAGAGATCAAGGGGTAACAGGAGGCCTCTGGTAAGGACTGTCTGAGAGCGCCCTGGAACTGCAGAACGCTGCAGAGCAGGAGAAACTCCTTTGGTCCCACATCTCTTCCCAACATAGAGTTTGCATGAGGATCTCATAAAGGGAGCTTATGCATAGACTCTGGGAGGTAATGCAGTCTCTGCTCACAAGACTTGGGAGGGTCTTTGCAGTTGGGAACCGGTAAGGCCGGAAGGCCTTACAGGGCAGAGATCACTAGAATGCCACAGGCTCTGCCTATGTTCTCAGAATATGGAGCAATTCCGATTGTTCTGTGTGCACAATGCTCGGGAGATAAAAGCCCCTTGATGCACCGTGTGTGGTCAGACCTTATGGGCCTTGTCTGCTGCACCTCTCTTGCCAAAGCAGCTGGATAGACAATGGGTGGTCAAATCTCAGACAGTGGGTGGTAAAATCTTAGTATTTCTTAGAAGAACCACATTTGCTATTGACTGCTGCAGACACATGCTCTTCCCCAGCTATCTTCCTTCTCAACCCCTCGTCTCCATAGCCTGCAAGATTAGTAGATAATACACCTAATAAAAGTGCTTGGAGCCCAGAGCTCAGTGCCAACCCGGATCACCCCATGCTAGTGTGTTGGAGCCCTGGACCCGTGCTGTAAAATTCTATTCTTGTGTCTTTGTCTTTATTTCTTTTCTCACTCCCTTGTGTCCACTGGGACACAGGGCACCCACATACAGGATTGGGCTGGTTCCCAACATTGGGAGGCCAGAAAGCAGAGTGAGATGGGGTGGGGGATATGGGTGCTTAGCTCATCCACCCGTGAGAGCGAGTAGGCCTGCTGGTCCATCACCTCCTGCCTGGTCTCCTGCTCCCATCTCAATCTCCCAGCCAGCCGCCTCCAAGCAGGAGTTAGGGATTTTCCTGAAACACAATCTGATCACTTCTATCCCCTGATGAGGGCCTGCCTGTAGGTCAAGTGCACTGAGAAGAAAGACCAGTTCTCCCTGAGGCTCATAAGGGGAGGTGGAGAAGGGGATTGTGAGAGCTTCCATAGTCTCCCGGGGCTCCTCATTCTCTCAGCACCTCCACGTGTTCAGCAACCAGAAAGTTCAATTCTTTTGTTCAACAGTTTTTAGGCCAGGAGCGGTGGCTCACACCCGTATTCCCAGCACTTGGGGAGACCGAGGCAGGTGGATCACCTGAGGTCAAGAGTTCAAGATTAGCCTTGACGAACATGGGTAAACCCCGTCTCTACTGAAAAATACAAAAATTAGCCGGGCATGGTGGCGGGCTCCTGTAATTTCAGCTACTCAGGAGGCTGAGGCAGGGAGAATTTCTTGAACCTGGGAGGTGGAAGTTGCAGTGAGCTGGGATTGTGCCACTGCACTGCAGACTGGGCAACACAGTGAGACTCCATCTCAAAAAAAAGTTTTTATAGTTTGGACTTGATCGCTTCCCCATCATCACCTTTCTTGGAGGTTAGTGGGCGACACTGAAGGTTCCTACCCTCTGATCCTCGAATCTCTTTGTCTTTCTTCTTGTGACTGCCCTGATGCTGAGGCTCCCTGGGGGCCCTACCCTAAGTCACAGTTTTAGCATGGACTCATGCTGTGTGATCTGAAAGAGACTCATTAGGAATAACAAAAGACACTCCTGTCACTCAGGAAGTTCCAAGTTTAGCTTCGTGATAGGATTGAGGGCCAAAGAACAAACATTTCCATATTATAGCACGCTGGGTAAGCCGTGGCTTCGTCAGATTGGACCCTCCTTGCTCTGCCAAATTGGCAGCATTTGTGAGTTACCAATCCCAAGGGAGGACTCCCACTGCAGGGAGAATGGCAAACGTCACCACCGCGCTGACCACCGGGAACAGGGGTCTGAACACTTCAGCCACTGCATCTTGGGCTGCATCTGACCACACTGAATATGGTGAACAGAACACCCACAACCACAGCCAGTTCCAAAAAGCAGGTTAATTACTTACAGATAGGCAGCAGAAGCGGAGGATTCATGACTCAGTGGTCCCCCAAGGCTCAGGAGCACTGCCCAGGGCAGATGGAGCACTGCCCACATGCACCACAGCTGTGGACTCAGCAGTGAGCGCTGAGTTTTATACCCCACGGGACACGTCCTGGGTGAGTGTTGGAGGACACCCCCTCGAGGAGGGATGGGAATGAGGCCGGCCCTGTCCTGGTCAGTTTCTCTTTAGCTCAAGGTGTTGCATTCTCTAGGAGGAATAGAAACCAAGCCCTGGCACTTTCAGGCAGTTCCTTCTTTCCTAGGATGGAGCATCCGGATACAGTTTGGCTCCGTGTCCCCACACAGCTCTTACCTCAAATTGTAATCCCTATGAGTCAGAGAAGGGACCTGGTGGAAGGTGATTGGACCATGGGGGCAATTTCCCTATTGTTCTCGTGATACTGGACAAGTTCTCATGAGATCTCATGGTTTAAAAGTGTGTGGCAGTTTCCTTTTCCCTCTCTTTCTCTCCTGCCAACATGGAAGACATGCCTTGCTTTCCCTTTGCCCTCTGCCATGATTATACATTTCCTGAGGCAAAACTTAGCCATGCAAAACTGTGAGTCAATGAAACCTCTTTTCTTTATAAATTATCCAGTTTCAGGTCATTCTTTATAGCCCCATGAAAATGAACTACTATACATTTCTAGTGCACTCTACAGCGATTCTGGGAGCTCTGGGCAAGAAGAAAGATGGGAAAGCCAGAGACATCCAATGCTTGCCTTCTGGTGCCCTCCTCCAGGAAGCCATTCCTGGTGCCCTGGGCACTGGACCCAGCCTTGTTCACCCTGAATCATCACTGTTTGGAGAGGTGTCTGTTTCCTCCCTGGACTATGATACCCAGAAGGGCAGGACCTGGAACTAGGTCACAATCGTATCCACAGCATCCGTTGGCACAGAGTAAGTGCACAGGGTGTATTCAATGAATGAATGAAAAAAGTGAATGGATGATGAAAGCCCTGTGTTCAGGTTGTGTCTCACTCAATCTGCCTGTCCTGTTATGGTGACTTTGTGAGAATTATTGCTTGCATGTCTTCAAACCTCCTCTTGCAGACAGCTCCAGGGCTTCCCTGTGAAGCTGCTGCTCAGCTGTGCCCTCTGGAGTCAGTTGCACTGGGGAAGGTCTAAGGCTGACTCCACAGCTCACATTTTCCCCTGTTAGCCCTCCTAACACAGAACACAGTCACGTGCAGGGCTGCAGGAGCCCAGGCTGCCAACATCATCAACAGCCCGCTGGGAGAGGGTAGGGACAGGTGAGACTCAGAACCTTCTAGATTCCTAAGTTTATAAATCTTTTGGCTGCAACTGCTAGGAAAAATAGCTGTGACATCATCATATGGGTTACACACAGTCACAAAGAAAAGGGAAAGCAAAAATTCATAAGAGTGTGTCAGCCTCCGTAAGGGGGAGCATCTCCAAACTTGGATCCCAATTGGCTTTTTTCAGAGGAAGCTTGCTTTCTTCTCAGAACAAGCACATTCAAACAGGAATTCACATAGGAAGGAGATTAAGTTCCTGTGGAGCAGAGGAGGAAAACCTTTCACTCAACCTGTCTGTCTTGTCATGGTGACTTGGTGAGAATTATTGCCTGCAGGACTATGGTTCTGTGGTCTTAACTGTCCTGGGGCCATAATGTATTTGAGAGTCTGAAAATAATTATAAACTTTTTTGCTCAGATTATCACAGATAATTGCAAAATACTGTGAAATGCCACTGTACTGCACATTTAAACACACACACACACACACACACACACACACACACACATATTTAACTTGTGAGGCGCATTGGAGGAGAGCAAAAAAGAACTGTCCAGACCTGTGGTGCTGAATAGTCTGCTCTGGTTCAACTAAAATAAAGTCCTTGATCAATTTGGTCACTGAAAGGACTTGTTCACTTCTTGTTGTTGAGGTATCAAAAACCACAGCAGAGACCTGATTTTCAAGGGTCTGCCTTAACAGAAAAGCCACAAAGAGCCGTGGTGAGAGCGTATCAGATGACGTCCATGGTGCTTTCAGGAGGTAACAGGTGGCTGACCTCAGCCTCGACGTTCAAGAAGATTTCAGAGGGTGGTTGATATTTAAGTGAAAGATGAAGAATGAAGAGGGATGGGGCATTAGGGGCTGAGGCAGGGGTGATGCTGTGGCTCTCCCAAGGAGCTGTATTCAGCCAAGAGCTGTGACAGCCGCGGTGGGGGTGTGCAGGATGTGGGGGTGAACATTTGGCATGCAGCCTACTTCTTCAGGACCGTCTGGGCTGCAGAGGCTGGAAGCTTCAGGCTTTCCTTCCCAGCAGGCCTTGCAGCTGGGCTTCTGGATGCATTTGAATCTCTCAAACACAGCCACTGTGCCTCTGGGTGTATCCACAGTAATGTCTCATGCCCAGGCAATAGCTCTGAATTGCTGAGAGGCTGTTCCAACTACAGAACTGATATCCAGATCTTGAGTCTCAGCTCGGTAGATTGGTCTAGCTTCATTCCTGGTGGCAAATGCTGGGGCCTCTCTTCCAGACCCTCTTATGACATGGAGGCTCTTAATTCACTGGACTGTGTCATGTGGAGGATCCTGCCAGAGCACGGATCAGGTTTTGGTCAACAGAAGCTGCTTTGCAGGGAGCTTCTGAAATCCTGACGTTATGCTTGGAGAAACTGACTCACAGACCCATCCTTGTCAGCCAGCAGAGGAGGGGCCTCTGGCCCGGGGAAACCCTGGACTTCCTTCTACATACCTGACATACCTGCACACCTGAAATTCCACCTCATTCCTGCCTATTTCCTAGCAGGGCTTCCCTGAGGGCAGATGGAAAGACCACCCCAAAGCTGCCAGGAGGGAGATTCCTTCTATTTTCTCCTGGAGTAAAAAGGCAAGCAGTGGGAAAGCTGCTGACAGCAGGAAATGCCAGCGTCCTCTGGAGTTTCACATTCCAGGAGCCGAGACCTGCCAGCCCTGCCCAGGAGCCCTGGAAATACCAGACCTGGGTGTCCTCCAGGAGCATCTGTGAACAGAGCCTTCCTGCCCTTCCGAGAGGGGCCAGGCCTGGGGAGTTTGGCAGCCCTCGGGTGGGAGTTCCAGAGACCTGGGTCCTGGCTCAGCCTGTGTCACTGACCACCAGCAGGACCTCAGTCTGTCTTGCTTGGATCCAGGAAGTGGGGTGAGAGAATTATGGTGATGGTCATTTGAGGTCAGGATTTATATTCACTGTCCAGACACCTGGGATCTTCTCCAGACACTTGAGGACAGGCTTCTACTGGGGCATCCTGGTCCTACTTCACACAGCTGGGCTCCCAGGCAGCCCAGGCAGAAGACAGACCCATGTCCAGACGTGGATGCCCCAGAGCGGGCATGTTAGGAAGGGGGATTCTGAGGAACTGGTGGTGGGATTGGACAGAGTTGTGATTATAGGCTTTTCTGACACCTTAGGAAGGAGCAGGGACAGGATCTGAATCCAGGGCTGAGTGGCCCCAAAGCCTCATCATGTCTAGTTAGGGGCCCTTAGTGTCCAGGGAGCCCTGAACTGGCCCTCACTGTCCTCACACTGCCCCAGCCTCTGAGGCCCCCATGCTCTGCTACAATCTCCCTTCACCTTCCAGATGCTGGGCTGACTCAGCCGCTCTAAGAAACTAGGCTCAGGCCATGAGGGTGGGGTGGACTCCTCCCTCCTCTGATGCCCACCCTGCCCCTGCCCCAGGAACGGTGCTCCCCTCTCTCACCCCAGCTCATGCAGCCAGCCTCACCTTTTCTTGGTAGAGACAATAAGACCTAGTACGGGGCTCCACTGCAGCCTCCCAGAAAATGCCTGGAACCGAGGACCTGAGAACTGGACCCCTTTATGGAAGACGCCAAAGGGCAGATATGTCAGTGGCTCTTAGAGAAGGAGAAGGTGATCCCAGATACTCCTGTGCTCCCAAGTGTCCTCCTCATCTGGCTGTGACTCCCTCAAAAAACTAGATGCCTAGTTCTAGATATACGCTATTCTATCATATAGTAACATCACATAATAGAACAATGTAATATTCTATTATTACTTGGAATGCACATAGTCCCAATAAAATGGTCCTAAACAGGCTGGGTGCAGTGGCTCACGCCTGTATTCACAGCACTTTGGGAGGCTGAAGTGGCAGATCACTTGAGGTTAGAAGTTCAAGACCAGCTCCGCCAATATGGTAAAACCCCATCTCTACAAAGAATACAAAAAGTACCCAGGTGTGGTGGCAGGAATCTGTATTCCCAGCTACTCAGAGGCTGGGGCAGGAGAATCGCTTGAACCTGGGATGCAGAGGTTGCAGTGAGCCAAGATTATCCCACTGCACTCCAGCCTGTGCAACAGAAAGAGACTCCATCTCAAAAAAAAAGGAGGGGTATAATAAACAGTTGAGCACAGCATTCTGGCTAATGCACACTGTGCCACTTTCTAACCCATTTTTTAAAATTAAAAATAATATTGTTTATGCCCAACCAAATTTCCTAATCTGTGTCCTGGAAAACACTGCTCTATCCCACTGCAGCGAGGCATGGAGGACGTTGGAGCAGACAGGGAGATGGTGCTGGAAGCAGGGTCTGCTCTGCCCCGGGAAAAGGTGGGAGCTGAGCACTCTGGTATTTATCATGAGGGCTTTTCTGCTGCAGCCTCTTCACTTGTCTTCTGCCTCCAGAAAGAAGCCCCTGTTCATGCTCCCTGGGAACACAGATGCAGGATCTTCCACACACACACAAATTTGGCCACATCCATGCCCTGCTAGGACCTAGCCATGGTGCCTACAGCGTGACGGGTCACCTTGCCTGACCTTGAAGAGAATGGCTTGTTCATGCCAGGTGTGGCCTTGTGAGCTCTTGAGCTGAGGAATTCCTGCAGAAGCTGGGAGGGGCCCACAAAACTGACCCAAAACAGCTCCTTCCCCTCTGTCCTCACATCATGGCCCCAGGATGGCTCTTCTCAGGGAAAAAGCACATTAAGGAAAAATACCTTTGAGAATCTCAAGATGGGTGTGGATTTCTCCACCACAACTTCAACCACAATAACCCATTTATTTTCCTACCTTCTCTCTCTCTCTCTTCTCTCACTGTGATGAACTTCATGAAGACACTGACTGAATATTCTACTCAGCTTGGCATCGCCAATGTCTTGACATAAAGCCTGGGACATGTGGGCTTCCATGTGGACCTGTCCTGGATAAATGACCATTAATGAGACAGAGAAGGAGTTGAAGAGCCCCCAGAGGAGTGTGAGTCCCAGGGGTTCGGCCAAATCCACTCCTGCCTTGCAAACCTGTGAAAGTCAGGTGCCTGAGTCACCCAGTCTCTCGCACACGAATGCCAGGAGCTGCAGGTGAGTGAGAAGTTACTGGGTTCTGGACCAGGGGTTTGGGTTGTGAGGTCCAGACCTAATGGGCCCCATGGAATATGTCATTGGTTAGCAACATCCCAAGGAAAGTGGGGAAAGTCGTAGCTCAGTAGCATCTTGTGGAATCGCCGTGCGGATGTGTGTGTCAGAGGATGTTAACGTCAGGAGGATCGTATTTTCTCCTGTTTGCCAGAGGCATCAGTGTCGGAAATGACAGAGGGCACGTAGCACAGAGAATATGGGGGGTGCACCACTTCTCTCTTGAGAACAAAGCTGAGATCAGATCTACCATGACACATACCCTGCCTGGCTCCTATCCTGCCCAAAGACCCAGCCTGTCTCTGCAGAACTTGCAGGAGGGCAGGACATGTCGTGACGTTACCAGCTCCTCTAGGAATTTGAGATAAAAGGAGCTGCTGAGATCTGTTGATCACCCACTCACTCTGCTGGAGCCACCCCAGAGCCATGGTTCCCCGAGGCTGCATCCTGGGTAAAGAGGACAGGACCCCATTCCCACCCAAGCGCATCTCCCATCTCGGCTATCTCCAGGGCTCGCTCTCCACTCTACCCTACACCTCACCCCTTTCCAAGGCCCAGCAATTCCCCATCCACAATGCTCGGGCCAGCCCCATCCACAGCCCTGCTTGAGTCCCTGAACTGCCCAAAGCCATGCGGAGCCCTGGTTCCACCCAATCTTCTAAATGTCAGTGCAGTGTCATATCTGTGGCTGCTCACTTACCCCACTTTCCCCTTCCTTTCCCCACAGTTGTCTTGGCTGCTTTCTGCATCTCCAGGCTCTTCTGCTCACATGGAGCCCCAGGTGAGCCCAGGAGAAATTGGGAAGCTGGGGCGGTGCGGCTCCCAGGGGACCCCATGCTGGGACTCACCTGCTATCATCACCTGGACCTCACCAGCTCTGTCTCCTCCAGTGGTCCCCACGAGTCCTTACCTGATGCTGTGCCAGCCACACATGAGATGTGGGGACAAGTTCTACAACCCCCTGCAGCACTGTTGCTATGATGATGCTGTCGTGCCCTTGACCAGGACCCAGAGGTGTGGAAACTGCACCTTCAGAGTCTGCTTCGAGCAGTGCTGTTCCTGGACCTTCATGGTGAAGCTGATAGGCCAGAACTGCAACTCGGCCCCGACCTTGGATGATAGGCTTTGTCACAGGTGAGTCCTGTCCCCTCTATGGGATTGTGGGTGCAGGGGAGCAGGGGAGCTGCATGCCTGTTCTGCCCTGGGTGGAGCCCCCATTCTCCGTGTCTCCCTGTCTCTCCCCTTCCCTACACCTTGTTTCTTCCTCCATTTATTTTTATTTCCCTCTCAGAACCTCACTCTCTCAACACTGCCGTCCTCTCCTCCTGGCTCTCCCGTCCTCTTTTCTGCCCATGTCCAGTCTCTCCCCCCATCTCTGGGCATCTCTGTCCTGCTCAGTATCTCTCTCTGTCACTCTCTCCACTGTCAGCTGATGGAACATAGGGGAACAATGACTCCTGGATTCTGCTTCCTGGATGGGCCTGGAGAGAGATGCTGGGGTCACCTGAGATCTGGAATGCTGAGTGGCTATTTGGGGGCAGGGGAAACACACACTCAACCCCCCCACTTCATTCTGTGACCTGTTTGATGCCCACCCTGCATGTGTCCTGACGAGGGCCACAGGTGCCCTTCTAGGATTCTGGACAGCAGGCGATGCATGTGCTGATGAGAGCCCAGGAACTCTGACCCCTCATGATGACTGACCTCTGTGGCCAACATCAGGGAGGCACCACCCCAAGGCTGGTGGGGAAACCCTCACCATTCTGTGAGATTTTTCTATTACCTCAAGTTCTTTTCTATCCAGGAGTAAAGCACAGGACCATAATAAATATATGTACTTTATAAATTTATGCTGTAGAATTCATGAATTACAGAGCTTGGGTGGTTGCAACGGGTCACAAATGGTGATGTGGGGCCCCTTCCCTTCTCTTTGTCACCCTGAGGCATCCGAGCTTCTCCATTTGCCCTGTTCACGCACACAATTATGTTTCCTCTCTCCATTTATTTTTAAATTTATTATTTTATTATTCATGCTGTGTGAATAGGGCCCTGGCCACCCCGGAACAGGGGCCACCCTCCTACACCGTCCTCCACCACATCGCTCCCTGAACCCAGTCCCCAGCATCGGGACCAGCCCAAGTGGGCTGGAAAGGAGGTGGGAATCACACCTGGGGAGGAGCACTCCCTCTTCCACCAGTTCTGGGACAGAACAGCGTCCAGCTGTTTGTTCTCCATGTCCATTAAGGAGATGCAGACAGACTGGGGAAGAACAGCGTTTCCTTCTGCAATTGGCTATGGGGAGAAGGTTGGAGTAGCTCACCAGACCAGCTCAAAATTACAAGCTACTTTTTCTAGTGCTTATGTGCATCCTAAGCCCCATGCCTGTGTGCGGAGTTCACCTGCGAGTGGGCATGTTTCATTCTGTCAATATCTAATCTTTAACTAGTGTGGAGTGTCTGGAAAGCTTTCTCTAGAGTCTTGGAAAGTTTCTTAATCTTAAATGGCCCTAGTATGAGGAATATGTGAAAGAATGCTATCACTGTCAGACCAGACTTTAGGGTCTGAGAAAACCCAGCCAGGGTTTTAATGGGTTGGTTTTCTCATTTTCGCCCTAGTCCTCAGGCACCAGTTTCTCCAGTTCTTGAAAGTTTAACGTATGCATTCATCAAAATTAGAATAAAGGGTTAGTGGAAATTGACTTCTCTGGTCACTAATGGAAACCTAACCTGCCACACACCCATCCCAGGCATGCGTCACCTGGGACCATGGAGAACTCACTGGGCAGGTCCAGCACCCAGAAATGCCACTCTTAGTCTGACTTTGGGCCAAAGCTGGAGACTGAGCAGGACTGGATGGGGCGGGGTGCAGAAGGTGTGGGCCATGGAGGAGCCTCCAGGGTTGGAAGGAAGAAGGAAAGCCAAAGCACCTGAAGCACATTCTCCAGGTCCTGTGCTGGTGGACAAACCCTCGTGCCCAGTGCTGTTGTGGAATAGATCTCGGAGGGGGCCGTGCTGCTGCTTACCCCACCCAGAAGCAGGTTCCCTGGGGAGGGTTCAGTCCTAGGGTCCCCACCAACCTGGATTGCCTGAAGGCAAAGCAGCCACCACCTTTGTGGGTCCCATTTCCCAGGGCCAGGGGCTCTTCACAGGACCCAGACCCGCGCCCCTCGGCCTCAGTCACCTGAGGCCAACCCAGGGTCCCAGACTGCCTAATGGTTTCCCGGGCAGATTCTGACCCAGAGGGTTCCCTCATCGCCCCAAAGGTGGCAGCATCGCCTCAGTGGCCCCAGCCCGGCCCAGGCGCCAGGTGTCTGCACCTGCAGGAACTCTGGACCTGGCACATACCATGGCATCAATCTGGCATCACAGGGCAAAACTCTGTCTCACAGGCCTAATCCCAGCTGGGCCTATCAGTGGGCGCACACTCAACGCTGGGTGAGCTCTGCCTCCCCCTGCTCGGATTCTGCAGGGGCTGAGGGCGGTGCTGATGCGTAGGGAGCGACAGACCCAGGCCACCTACGGGGCGGTGCTTCCTCATCCTCCACAGCGAGCTCCTAAACCTTCACCCTGTCCACACGTGACTCTCCCTTCCTCCACTCCTCTGCCACCCTATGAAATGGTCTCATCTGGCCATTTAAGTGAAAAACTAAAAAGTTTTAAGTGACTCCAGGAAAACAGGAGAGAGACGGTTGTCCCAGCTCAGACCCCGCCCGAGACGCCCAGACTGAAGCGGCGCTGCCGGATGTAGGCGCTCAAGGCACTGCGCATGCGCCGAGAGGCCACAATCAGCCCCGCCCTTGTTAAACCCGAAATCCTTAGGCGTCTGGGTCCTGCCGCCTCGCAACCCCCTAGACCACTGGTCCAGATCCCTCGTCTTCCCCGAACTCGCGGCATTGACATCAAAGCATCACCTCATCTGGCACAAGAATCTGGCACAACACAGACCACACCTTACACCAACCTGGTGGATCCCTCCTTGGACCTGAATCCAATCAGCCAAGAGTCAGGGCTCTGGGTTCCCGCCCAAATGCCTCGCATGCGCCCAGAAGGCACCTGGCGTCTCATCTGAGGGACCGAAATACTGGCCTTCCTGGAATCACTCGCTGTGATTTAAATAGCACCAAATAAATTGGAAAAGAATGAAAGTGCTATAAAGTTTGGCTAAGGTGATGAAGCTTTCAGAGGTTGTATCAGTCCTTGTCTGGTGGAGGGAGTGAACGAGTCTTCTCTGAACATCCATGAGGATGAAGGACAGTCACTGAGGTGACGGTACCAAGTCACTGACCACCTCCCAGGAATCCTCATTCAGTCCTCACAGCAGCACTGCATGTTAGGACCTCATTACCCACATTCCACCAAGAGGAAGCTGAAGCCCGGGTCCTTCATCCACTCATGTGCTCCAGACCCGTGGTGCCAACCCTGGGCCCCACTATCAACCAGGCCTTGGGCCTTCCACCTGGGGAGTGTCCCTGTCTCATCCATGAGCCATCCTGGGCCCAAAGAGGTGTCCAACAAACAAGAAAACAGAATGGAAAGAACTGTGATGGAGTGGATCTTGCGTAGTAAGGATAAAGTTATTTTGAGGAATTTCTGATTCATATATTTACCCACAGAAAAACAGAAGCAAACATACACACACAGGCTGTCATGTGTCCTAAGAACAAAGTGTCTTGAGCAAGGCCATTGCTGGCTCCACACTTGGCCTGACTGTGATCTTGCTGTGATCAGCACATCCCATCAGTGTGGCAACAGGTGTGACCAGTGTGAGAACCAGGCCTTCTCTTCAGATTTGCTCTTCTTATTTTCTTAATAGCCACCATCAGAAACAGGCACCCTCCTGTTGGGTACCAGCCCCAACCCTGTACATGGTTGCCCTTAGTCCCAGCGGTGATGAGGGATGACCCACACCCTCCTAGAAGTCACTTGATTGAAAATCTCCTTTTGGGTATTTAGGTCCATGTTCTGTCAGTAAGTTAAAGTATAAATATATATTTATTATAAAGGTGTAAATTATAGCTCTAATGATTTTGGTGAATTTTACCTAACTGTAGCTATTAAAATATTCCAATAGATTAAAATAGTGCTAAAAATGTACAGTTAATATGAGAGTGATTTTTTAAGATAAATCTTACAATTTTTTATCTAGTAAATCTTCATAAAATATACATAATCATGAAGCACATCAATAGAATTAATCCTAGTATTTATAGTAATACTTGGTGTGCTCCCATTAAAAAATAATATCGATAGCAAAAAAAAAAGAAATGATGAAATTAAAAAATTCGATTTAATTTCAAGTTGTTTAATTTTCATTTCGGGCATGGCTATCTGAAGCAATACATTTTGTTTGGGCATTACTATGGGATGCCCTTTGTCTCCCCCTAAATTAATGTGTTGAAGTCCTAACCCAGAATCTCAGAATATAACTGTATTTGGAGATAGGCCTTTGAAAAGGTGATTAAGGTAAAATGAGGTCATATGAGTGGGAACTAATCCAAGCTGACTGGTGTCCTTTTAAGAAGAGGCGGTTAGGGCACAGACACACACAGAGAGGCCACGTGAGGACACAGGGAGGAGTTGGCCTTCGATAAGCCAAGAGATAGACCCTCAGAAGAAACCATCCTGCCAACGCCTTGATCTCATACTTCTGGCTTTCAGAACTGTGAGGAAACAAATTTCTCTTGTTTAAGCCACCCCTCTGGCGCTCCTGGTTATGGCAGTCCTGGCAGACTAACACAGGCTTAGGAAAATGAAGGATGCAAGGGTCAGAGAAAGGGAGAAAACCAAATATACATTCTCCTCAAACAATTTTCAGAATGATGGACTTTAGAGGAAGACTTTGGGGAAATCACTCTAAACTGAGTGTTGGACGTTTTATTCTAAACTGGGTGTTTAGTGTTTTAAGTGTTTTGAGTTTATTACTATTGTTAGAACTGTTTGAATAGTTGAAGAGGAAATATATTTGAAACCTGATGATACTGTATCTCCCAGCTAAGGTTCTGTTACCTATGGGAAGTCTTGACTGTGAGTTGTCCAGGTTCTTGGCACGCTCAACAAAGAATTGAACAAAGCACACAAGCAAAACAGTGGAAGAGGAAGATATAGCTTTATTGAAGCGAAAGTACATGCCACAGAGTGGGAGTGGGCTTGAGCAAGCAGCTCAAGAGTCCTGAGAATTTTACCCTTGGAATTTTACCAACCAAAGGAAATTGGTAACCCTCTGGGTACCCTTTAGGGCCTCTAACTGGTTACATCCTATGCAAATGAAGAACTGGCCTGTGGCCAATCAGAGGATGAAGTGAAGTTACACCCTATGCAGATGAAGATTTGATTGGTGGCCAATCAAAGGCTGATGTGGAGGCTTGGCTCATGATCATTCAGAGGCTGACTTCTCCCTTTGGTTTAATTCCACGAAGTTAGCCATAGGTTGGCCTTAGGGTCCTTGTCTCCAGACCCTATTCTCCTGCTTCAGTTCCTTCTTTACAATATATTACTAATAACTGCCTGAGAATGCCATTGCCCTAGACATAGACAGGTGAGTGACGTCCTGCAATGGGGCCTTCTGAGAGGGTCTGTCCATACAGCATGTCCACAGGCAGTGTGGGGGCTCACTGCTCCCCTGGCAGCTGGCAGCACTGAGAAATTACTAATCTGCCCAACGAGTTTGAACTTGAAAATTAACTACTAATCACAGCAACAATAAAACTATTATTCTAAAAAAAACTGATAACATTTTAGATTCATCATTGTTTGCCCGTTTGTTCTTTGGTGGTGATATTCACTTTCAGCCTCAGGGTCTAGAGAAAAGAGAAGGTCTCTGAGGAATTTTAGCACTAGGGCAAAT